TCGGACTTATTTTACCATGTCTGACACTGTGTGTCTCAGCTGAAGATATAAACCAAAGACTTGTGTCATAATAAGGATTATACTTTTTGTATAGCTACTGCTCACAATGTCAAATGTCCTTAGCTATACAGTGTCAAAGACGTTTTCCCTTTCCATGTGTAAGACAGAGATACAGAGAGAGAGAGGCGAGGAGGAAGACTCGTTGCCATTGTTTCTTCTCTCTCTATTTCTCCCTCCCCTACACATAGAAATCTAAAACCTCGTCAGCACTGTATATTCACTTATATACAAACTAATTTCGGAGGTTAATTCTGGTGGGTTAAGGATATATAGTCGAAATCAGTAAAGATGACGATTACATCATCATAGTAAAGACAAACGACAGCGATTTGTGAATATATTTAATGAAGTTTCAGATATGTTAGATAGAGACAAACAGAATTTTATTGTCTAAACAAACTGTATTGCAAATTTGCATGTATCCGACAAAGATAGACGATGTTTTCATGTTGCATGATCGATCATATTTGAAAGATGAATAGTTAGGTTATGTTATAGCAGGTTAGGTAGTTTTCGAATAATACTTTGGTCTTTGGTGTTCCTGCCTTAAGGTATTTTACTCATAACTATTTTTTTTCCAAAACAGAAACGCTCCACTAAAATTATTATTAAGATATCACTCAAAACCATGAACTAAATGAAAATAGAAATAATCAGTGATATAACCTAACTTCGCAAAAGCATAATATAAATTTGCTCCTGACATCGTGATTTTATCATCGACGTACGTCTACCGATTACTTCAGTACAATTTATGGTATGACGTAATAGTCATCTTTCGTGATTTTGTCTATAACTGTCTAGGTACGTTAAGACATAGCCAAAGCGTTTTCAAATTCGCTACGTTGTATTTGTTTTGGATAAACAGTTTATTATCTCTTTCTTTTGAGCTTTCCCATTTTGTGAGCGGTATGGCTTAATCCAGTGCTAAATATTTTTATATGTATATCGATATGTATGATTAGGTGCTTTTGTACGATGTTTCAAGGTATATTTATTTCTGATTGTTGGAACATGTGACATAAAGTTCAGTGGTAGAAATGTCAAGATGACGTCTTGTCAAACTGCAGGAACCGCACGACTCTTTTTCACGTTTAGCTTTTTGTACCTATGTAGATTTCAAATTAAGCGGCACTTTTTAAGTGTACTTACGCCTGTGTCTGCGAACTATATCATTTGACAAGATTGTTGAAATAAATTTTTTACAAAACTCATGAGATTTCTTATTTCACGATTCAGTCTAGCCAGGCTCGGATGGATATAAAACGTCGAATGGTGTGTGCTAGGGAGCGTACAATGATTAGGAAAATCATCTTGGCACAACCTTTGGTAGGTGGCTATCGTAGATTTCCATCTACTCGGGCAGAATGCTTCGAGTTTTTAAAAGAACCACATAAAAATTGTTTGCTTCCCATTTCGACTGTCTTCACGACTAAACCTAAGATCTACAGGGCGTTTCAGAACTAAGGCATCAAAACATTTGAGAATAGGGACACACATATCCGGAAATGTGTCACTACGGCCCTAAGGCCCGTATCGTCAGTCGTCCCTACAATTGTAGGGCGCCTTTATGGCATCCTTGATTATCATAGTTTTGTACTTCTCCATGTCAGCGCTCTATTTTGAGGTTATGTCACAAACATCTATTTGCATCAAATTATGCTTGCTTCTGAGTTATATCATGTTTTATCAGCCTGAAATTTCCTACAATTTAAAAAGAAAACATATCTTCACAATAGGAGAGCGCTGACGCTGACACAGGACAGGTGCAATCTAGAAATTTTTGAAGGAGAGATAGGAGTATGACAATCAAGGAGGCCATAAACGCGCCTTACAATTGTAGGAACGACTGACGATACGGGCCTTAGGCAATAAACTTTTTGTATACCGGATGCGGTGCATTGCAGCTTGTTGCTCCGTATGCCAAATGCATATCCGACAATTCTTGATTGGTAAAGTTTTCCATTAGCAACAATTAATTTTTGTTTCTTGCAAACTTCACAAATACGATAGCACGACTAAAGCGATATGCAATGCAGCTACGAAAAACAATCTCTGTTATCGTTTTTGAAGATAACAACACACAAGCGCCCGATATGGGTCACTATACTCAAATGTTTTCTACTGTTACACTGAATAATCCCTACAAGTTTGATCCCATAGTTCTGAAACACCCTGTATAGCACACTGATGAGCACGAAACAGCGCTGTCTGCGGTTGGTCATCGTTTCAGCAGACGGAGATCAAACATGTTCTTTCCAACCTAGATACAGAATTTCCCAAACATAATAGCATCATTAACGTCACAAAGAAGTGAAATTACAATCATCTAGGATTTCCGAGGGTTTCTCAGTCTCCAGAAGCGTATCAATCGCTGCATTAATGATACGGGGTTCCAAGTGCTAAACTCTTAGGCTACGGTTACTATGGATGCGAACCCTGACGAAATTTTGTTCTGATGAGTTCTCACAATTCGTCCAAATCAACAAACACTTGTTTGTGCTTACACAGGCAGCGACCAGCATGTCAGAGTAAGCACGACGTCGTCATAACCATTTTAACAGATTTTGATATTTTCGTACGACCTGAGTCTTTTTGGGTACTTTTACTGTGAAATGTCAGATACGAGGTCTGTAAATTAAGTGATGAGATCTGATTTCTTTAATATGCAGGGTGATTCACAAGTCGTGACCAAAAATGAAACATCATACACAGAATCGCGTTAAATCAGACTAGCCTCTCTAAGTTTCAAGTGGAAAAAGAGTGAAATCCGAAGTTCTACAAGATGCAGCAGTACCCTGAGAATTTTATATAATAAATACTTTGAAAAAATTTCATTTAAATGTTCATTTTTATTATAGCTCCAAAAATAAGTTAGTTTCTGCCAGTCACTAATATGCACGGTACTGTAATGTTGGTTGCGGTCCGCCACTGCCACTGGCTCTAGTGTTTACAAAACATACGCTCTGTATTGTTGTTGCGCTCTGTAATGTTGGTTGCGCTCGGTAATGTTGGTTGCAAGCATCGAAGACACTAGTTTGATTCAGTAATAACAGGACGTCTTTTGTTAAAGTCTGAAATACTGCAAAAAATGAGTGTCCGGTGTGAGGCCAACCATTCTTGATACGTTTTTGAGTCGCTAAAAACGACTAATAAGAAATCTCCACCTCTGGAAGCTTGTGTAAATCGGTTGCTTATATTTTGAATTCGAGGTCAAATCAGTTCTAGGATTCACTACCAATTTTTCAACCACAAGTCGTGACCAAAAATGAAACATCACACAGGATCGCATTTTAAGGGGGGTCTTTAATGTAATATTTTTCCTTGAGAGCTTCATTAAAAAGTTACGGGATGTTGAAGTTTTAAAATAAAAAATATGTTTTTTTAATATTTTCAAAACCGTCAACCGGAATGAACTAGAATCTGGTATGTGGATTTACCTAATAAGCATTGTCCTCATTCAAAAGTCTTGACTTAAAATTAACGTGAACCAGTGATACAGGGGATTAGTGGCAGCATTATTTTTTCAAATAAAAACAGTAGTCCACTGATGCAAACTTGACGTTTCTTGGGAGATAATTTGTCAATTTTATGTGTTATACTGTTGTTATCGTTACGATTTTTTTTATTTTTGTTTGTAAAAGTCAAGTCAGAAGTTTCTTTTTCCATTTTTGAAAGTTGTGAAATGGAATTTAGCAATGATGAGTACGCCGATATTATTTTTGCGTATGGGTTCTGTAATGGAAATGCTTTAAAGGCTTCTCGGGAGTATCACCGTAGATTTCATAACAGACGCCAACCTACCTTAAAGGTCGTTACGCCTTCATTTCTAAGACTTCGGCAATATGGAATTGCCAAGCATCCCGAAGTTAGACGCCGTGGTGTCCAGCATACTGTTCAAGAGGAACTGGAAGTGATTAATTTGGCGTTGGATGATGCTAGTACAAGTACTAGGCGGATTGCAGTCCAGTTGCCATGTTCCCAAAGTCTTGCGTGGAGAATTTTAAATCCTTATCATCGGCAAAATGTGCAATGTCTGCATCCCGCCCACGAAGTGCAACGACGAAATTTTTGTGAGTGGTTACAGCAAATGCGTAATCACAATGCAGCTTTTATTGATCTGGTTTTGTAGTCAGATTAAACCCTTTTTCGAGGAGTGGAATTTTTAATTCTCATAATGAACTTATTTGGTCGTTGGAAAATCCCCGTTCTGAAAGAATCCACTCGTTTCAACACAGATTTTCTAGAAATGTCTGGTGCGGCATTTTCAATGGCCAGCTGTTTTATGCACGTATTGTACGTTTAAATGCAAATTCATAATTAGCTTTTCTAGAGAATTATAAAGAAAATGTGTTAGCAACGAGAGTAGGAATGTGGTATCAGCTCGACGGTGTCCCACCGCATATTCGTCGTGACATAACCGCATGGTTAAATAATCATTTTAGACAACGAACCCGTACATTGGCCTGCGAGATCTCCTGATTTGAACCCTTTGGATTTCTTTTCGTGGGGCGCTTTTAAACAACTAGTGTATGCTCAGCGAATTAATTAATTGATCAGTTACAAGAAAGAATAGATAATGCGTTGCCGCACTTGTATCCGTCGTCTGTCCCAAAATGAGTTCCTTTGAGGTGACTTTTCAACTTGAGAAAAAAGTCACAGGAATGTTCTTACTGGCCAAAAACTCGACTACCGCTTCGGTTAAAAAATATGGTTCCCTGACAAATTTTTATATGGGGCCCCTCAGACTACGTTTATTTGACAAACACCTCAACTGAGAGTAATCAGTAATCAATTCCTTTGGCTATATCAAAGAATATAGACTAGTGAAATTAACGTCGCAAGTTGATTAGACAAACACCATGACCGGAAGTAGTCGTTTAGCCCTGGTAAAATAAAGGACAAAAGACATGGTGACGAAGGCTAAATAAAATCATCCATATACTTATGTAATATCTATTAAATGAACAGGAAACCAAACAACTAATAGAAAATAATTATGTACAAATAAAATACACACAAGTATATTCCTAAGCATAAGCATCCTCTCGATCAGCGCCTGCCCCATCGCCGTCTTCCAAAGACGAAAAATTAAGGAAATGAGCAGGTCTATGGATTTCGTGATAGAACTCCTTTGGATTAGCGAGTTGCAGTTCGTATTTCATGTTAGGATCGTGACGAACACCTAGAAGAAAAATAAGCATGTAATGAAAAAAACCTAGAAAATATGGAAAATGTAAGTTACAGAAGTTTGAAATAAGTCCATAGACGCCATAGATAAACTGCAGATATCATGGTTTATTTTCAAATAATCGGTATCGTAGCATTTGCAACAGTTTTGAACGTTTGTGTATTCCTGGTAATGTTTCAGGTGCGCAAATTTTTCACATTTCTGCTGCATATAATAATTTCGTAAGAAACAAACTAAAAGTCATTTCGACACAGGTCACACAAAAAAAAATGTTAACTTACCCATGAAGTTGTAGTTCCAAGACCCTTGAGCAGGCACCATGAAGAATCCTAGGAATCTGTCAGAGAGCAGCATCTGAACCTTCTCATAATGACTTGGTAGGTACCCCTTAGGGTTGTTGCCTTTATCGGTATTTTGTCTACCCCATTCGTAACCAGATGGCGTTAGTTTGTATGCTGTTAAGGAGCAAGAACCTGGAAAAAATGAAAATTGTATGATTATTAGCAATCGATGTAAGATTTGCCATAAACCAGTAATACAGCATTCCCTTGTCCCACCACAGACAGCCAAACATGGAAAGCTTTTTCGTGTTATTTGGCAACTTGTCCAGGTAGAATAACGAACAAAATCTGAGCAACTATCCTCTATTGAAATGAGGCAGCAGAAAGTGCCATCTGTTACCAGATTCGAACCCTGCGAGAGTTATATTGTTTGTTTCTGCTACTGTGTCACAGATGGCGTTAGGATCTTCAATCCCTCGCTGATGAGTATTTTAAGTGGGCCCTTTTCAGGTGGATACCAAATTAAAAAATGCATTACAAAGGTCAACATGGGATTGAGGATCTTAGCGCCATCTATGAGGCAGTAGCATGGAGCTCGACAACTTTATAGTGTTCAGTTTACATTTTTTTATCGACGATCGTAAAACAGCCATAAAAGCGAGAAGCCGGTTTCGCTGTATATCTAACGGGTGATTTTTTAAGAGGTATAGGATTTGATTTTCAAAAAAAACACAAAAAATTTGAAAAAACGATAAAATCTTTATTTGAGTCGATAGAACGGTCGATATAATTTAATGTTTAAAGATTATTTCATGTAAATGTTGGCCGCGGCTCCCCTTTAGATGGCCCATGCGCAAGGTCCAATTTTGGCACACTCTCTTCAACATATCGGCCGGTATCTCACGAATAAATGCTTCAATATTGGCTTCCAGTGCGTCAATCGTTGCTGGTTTATCCCTGTAGACATTAGCCTTAACATGGCCCCACAAAAAATAGTCCAACGGCGTTAAATCACACGATCTAGGCGGCCAATTGACGGGCCTCAAACGTGAGATAAACTGTTCACCGAACTCACCTCTCAATAGGGCCATTGTTTCGTGTGCGGTGTGGCATGTGGCACCGTCTTGTTGGAACCACATGTCAGCCAAGTCCAGCTCTTCCATTTTGGGCAAAAAAAGTTTGTTATCATCGCACGGTAGCGCTCGTCGTTCACAGTTACGTTCCGGCCATTGTCGTCTTTGAAGAAGTATAGCCCGATGATGCCACCGGCCCATAATCCACACCAAACAGTGATTTTTTCGGGATGCATTGGCAGCTCTTGCAATGCTTCTGGCTGGTCTTCACTCCAGATGCGGCAATTTTGCTTGTTAACGTACCCATCCAGAAACCAGAAATGAGCTTCGTCGCTGAACACAATTTTTCGAAAAAAAGTGGATCTTCCTCCAACTTTGCCAGCGCCCATTCACCAAATTGGAAACGTTGTGGGAGGTCGTGTGGCTTCAATTCTTGCACCAGCTGTATCTTATAAGGTTTTACACCCAAATCCTGTCGCAAAATTTTCCACGTAGTGGAGTAACAGAGGCCCAATTGCTGCGAACGGCGGCGAATCGACATTTCACGATCATCACTAACACTGGCGGATACAGCCGCAATATTTTCTTCAGTCCTCACTCTACGTCTGCGTGTTGGTGGTTTAATGTCCAATAATGTAAACTGGGTTCGAAATTTAGTCACAAGCTTCCGAATAGCTCCCTCAGTAGGCTGACCAAATTGTCCATAAATTGGAAGCAGTGCTCGATGCACTCTCTTAACCGAGCATGAATTTTGATAGTAAAATTCAATAATTTGCAAGCGTTGTTCGATCGTAAGCCGATTCATGGTTAAATTATAGACCAAACTGAATAAGTTTGACAATGACACAAGACACGATTCACACGTCATCTGTCAAAAACAGTGTTGCCAAAAAGATACTAGCAAAAAAATCACCCATTATAAGCTGAAGCAAATTAAATATAACAAAAAATTAAAGGCGCAGTAATGGCTTTCCAGTTGGTTACTGAAAATTGCAGAAGAGCCATAGAAATTGTCAAAGCAGTATTTTTGGATTTGACAAGGGCATTTGAAACGATCGGTATTGATATTTTGTTAAGTAAATTCAAAGCATATGGTATATCAGGAAGTTATTTCGACTAGTTTGAAAATTATCTGTCTAAGAGGGTGCAAGTTACAAAAGTTAATAACATTATTTCATCAAAAATTTAAAATTCGATAGGTGTTCCACAGGGCAGTATCCTGGGACCACTTCTTTTTATTATATACGCGCCATAGGTGAATGGAGTGGGGCGACGTCGTGGTATATTTTGGGTGGGGATGTCAGGAAGAGGTTTGGTTTGGCGCTTATAGTAGCATCATGTCTGAGCAAGGGTTGCTCACGTCTGTTGCGCAACGCATTATCATAAAGTTTTTATCGCGGCAGGACGTAAAAACTTCCGAAATTTTGCGTCAATTAACGGCATAGTTCGGCGATAAGACAGTTTCAAGGACACAAGTATACGACTGGCAATTTTTTTTTCATTGAGTGGCGAAAGCCTGGAGAGGCAGCACCGCAAAAAGCCAAGACCAGTCTTTCTGAAGGAAAAGTTCTAGCAACGGTATTATGGGATTCCAGAGGTGTACTGCTAATTGATTTTCCAAGTGCCATTCTGCTCCATGACAATGATCAGATACACACAGCTGCATCGACCCAAGAAAAATTACGCGAAATTAATTGGGAAACACTTGAACACCCGGCCTACAGTCTCGATTTGTCGTCATGTGACTGTCACACGTTTGTGGCTACTTAAAGAAGACCTGGGAGGTCATCACTTTGAGGACGACGACGAAGGTATGGAAACATTCGTGCACAAATGGCTATCGACACGACCAGCTTCATTCTTTGATGGCAGAATTAAAAAACTTCCGATCCGTTTGGAAAAAGCATTAGTAAGAGAGGAGATTATATAGAAAAATAAGATGTAAATAAACTTGTATTTACTATACCAATTACTAAAACAAAAGTACGGTTCATATTTGATTCACCCTCGTACATAAACGATTTTCGCTGACGACACTTTTCGTTGACTCGCAATTAAATTTTTGAATTCATTATGAGGGAATTATAAAAAAGACTAGTAGTAAAGTGGGATATTTTTAAGTCTCTGTAAGTCTTATAGTAGGAAAATTAGCTGTGATCTTATCATTCTTCCTTGTATTGTTCAACTATTCTATACTAAGTGACATATAAATCCGAACACCCAGTTTAAATGGTTTTATTTTAATAAAATTTTGTATAAGTACTTAATGAAGCATAATAAGTAAATGATAAAAATTTCAAAATGATTGCACTGCTTTAAATCCCTTTGACCTTTAATAATGTGTGGATGCACCCTGATGTGCTACGCATTCTCCAACGCGCCTAGGCATGCCTCTGATCAGGTGGTCAATGTCCTCCTGTGGTATCTCATTCCAGGCAACCACCAACTCCTCTCGAAGTGCTTCTAGAGTCTGAGGAGCACGTTGCAAATTGAGCAATCTCCTACCCATCATATCCCACACGTGCTCAATTGGGGATAAGTCGGGAGATCTTGGTGGCCATGGTAACAATGTGACATCATTATGTTAAAAGAAGTCTATTGTGACTCTTACAACATGTGGTCGGGCATTATCTTGTTGGAAAGTTGGATCTGCCAGGGTGTCAAGATAGGGTAAAAGATGGGGTTCTAGAACTTCGTGGATATAACGCTGCGCGTTCATGTTATCTCTGATGAAGATTAAAGGTGACCTGGAACCATAAGCTATAGCACCCCAAACCATAACTCCAACAGTGTGATGAACATGTCTTTCAACAAAAAACTGTGGATTCCTCCTTTCACCACGTCGCCTTCTAACCCTGGCACGACCATCGTGCATGCCTAAACAAAATCGAGACTCGTCACTAAAGACAATACTGTTCCATTCCTGATCCCAGAGTGACCGTTGTCTGCACCACTCAAGGCGATTACGTCGGTGTTCTCGAGTTAAAGGGAGGACCCAGTGTGGCCGGTATGAAAACAAGCCAAAACTTCTCATTCGTCGGTAAACACTTCGCATGCCAATAGGTCTTCCGTGTTCTGCAAAACATTCATTTGCAATGGACCTGGTAGTGGAGAAACGGTCCCTTAAGGCCAATAATCTTAGGCGGCGATCTTCACGGTCTGTTGTTCTACGGCGGCGTCCAGTGCCCCTTGCTCTTTGCGTACGGCCTTCTCGAAGCCATGCCTGACAACACCTAACCACAGTGTCTACTCTTCTTTGCACTCTAACTGCAATTGCCCGAAAAGAAAGTCCAGCTTCCCGAAGTCCCACTATACGGCCCTTATCAAACTCACTAAGTTGACGAAATCGTACAGGTCTCCGTACTCTAGGCATCGTTACCGATCGTAAAGGATGTCAAGAACCAAAATCCGCCAACGTTGATTCTTTACTGCGGCTGAAATATTCATTTTTAGAGCGTTGCTGAATTAAAAAAAAGCAGTATAAAAACCGGAATGTCCAACTGATAAGGCTGAAAAATTTTTCACTTGTTATTTACAGTAAGATAAATACATTCACCAAATTTTATTAAAATAAAACCATTTAAACTGGGTGTTCGGATTTATATGTCACTTAGTATATATTTAGCTAACAAATCAATCTTTGAAAGACTGCAAATGTTACAAAATAAGTGCATGAGAATAATACGGAATAAAGACTAATATACTCCATTCGACAATTAAAATGGCTCATGGTGAAAAATTTCATTAAACATCTTGTAATGATATTTATAAAGTAAAAAACAATATATTTCCACCATGTCTAACTAAATTAACATCAAATGCCTACCATCATTTACATAATACCAGAAGTAAAGATGACTTGCATTTAATGCCCAAAAAGTATATGTTACAAATCTTTATTTTATCAAGGGTTGATTGAATATAATAAATTAAACACAGAGATGAAAGACCTGAATACTTTGACAAAATAGTAAATATGAGGAATTAAAAAATTTACTGATTTTAAGTTCTTTATAATTATTTTATATGTGTAGCAAAACGTGCTAAATAATTCTTTCAACTACTACTATCGAAATTCTGCAATATGCTACTCAGCGATTCATTCTAACGTAAAACAAACATACCTGGAGTAAATGAGCAAGTAATGATGATGGATTTCTCGCCATCCCAGTTCGGATTATCGGCCATGAGTTTGGCGTGCGCGGTGACATCTTGCGGCGACAACTGCGGCAATTCGTTGGGTTGCGTGTGCATCCAACCTAAAGGTTCCATATCAGCCAAGAATGGGTGGTTTGGAGGCGTGCTCGGCACGTGAACAGTTTGGTGGGTGCCCCATTGTGGAGCTAGGACGAGACAACGCAGCTCCTTTACCTAATGATAACAATAGAAGGCACTAAGTGATATGTAAAAGTAAACTACTTTTATTTATAGAAATGAAAAAGTACAGAAACAAGTACTGTACTCGTGCAAATGTGGGTAGGCAAATAGAAATTCCCCAAGAATAACAATAACCTAAACTTAAGATACATAACGTATATAGGACCAAAGATATATAACATTTTGCCAGAACACTTGAAAAGTTTTTCTAATGTTTTTGTATCATAGTATGATCGATTTATTCTTCGGTATATTGAGGTTGTTTATTGTTTTTTTTTTTTTTGTATTTCATAATCCAATAAATACACACCTTCGGAAAAACCATTATTATACATTATGATGAGGAAGAGAGATGGAAATATACAAAAGTATGTAGGTGCGTGAAAGACACTCGATTGTAGCATCCTATCTGGCTGCGTCGGAGTGTGACGGACAACAGGGTAAAGTAGAAGAGTGATAAAAGAGAGATGGCAGAACGGGCGCTGGCGCCTGCCGCTTAGATGGATGCGCTCAACAAATGCGATCTGTTTCTCCCATTCGCACAGTTGCCGATACCAATATGCCATATTTCTAAGAAATCTAAGTCTACCCAAATTTCGGGAAAAATAGCTGCGGATTCCACATAAGAGTATTCCAAAAATGAAAAAAGTTCAAACTATTAAAATTGTATTAATGTTTCATGGTTCAAATCATATTTTTCATGTTTGTATATTGTTGTATAAATGATTTTGTAATCCCTATTCTTGTTGCCAGTAGAGATACAACAGTATTGAGAGAAATCATGGACCGCTAGATAGGGCTACAACTACCATATGACTATCAAATAGTAGTGATAAACAGGGTTTATAGCACAGTTGCCTGGTGTGGCGAATTTGCGCCATAGGGGCGATTTGACAACTTTGAAGGACAACTATAACGGGTACTATGGTGCCCGGTATTCGGGAATCTGGCAATACCTGATGATTCCTAGCGTTTATTACGCCAGATTGTTTGCTGACTTGCGCAGTACAACATGACAATCAACGTGACTGAGCACCTGGTAACCCTGGTTTAAGGTGTTATATTTAAAGAGCTTGGGGCAGTTAGGTATCTAGGTCACATTTTTTAATGTATTTCGAGAAATCCGTAATGTTGAGTAAATACTTGATCACGTTTCTTGCGTAGTTTGCTGAAAATTCTACAATAGACGTACATTTTGAGAAACAGAGATTTGGTGACGACAAAATCGTAAAAATATAACGCATTTTCGTAAAATAATTTCTTTGTTGAAAAGACTGTGGCTTGATGACCCATTGAACGAGTATAGTGTCCCACTCCGCTTTGAATATACGAAACACTATACTCCAGCAGCATTCAGCTTCAATGTTATCTTTATGAAATTCTAACGTCTAGGCCATGCTGATTAAAAGCTTGAATGAATCAACACTTAACTCTAAATTCCCCACAATTCGGGAAGCTCTACTCAAATTGGCAACACAGCGTATCTGCCTATTATTCTCATTCGTGATACAGGTCTGCGGTCTGCTACAAATTTCAGTATGCATTGAGTCGACAGAAGTACAGTAGATGCGCGCATTACGCACCAGTTCGATTGGACGTCCTGTGAACCGATTTCGGTGATTTCGAGATTTCACGAAATCACCTAAATCACCCTACTTATTTTTATGAATGGATAATTGGTTTTGTAGCAATAAAGGTTGCGTCTCATAACAAAAATAAGAAGATGCCCACTCTAACAAAAAATAGTACACTCTTAAAAATGTGTAACGAAAATAAAAAGATATTCTAACAAAAAAATAAGTTCTCAAAAATAAAACGCAATAATGAACACAAATGTTTCAAATGGTCCTTCACAGCTGGGGCTCAAAAACGTCTCCTTCATTCAATGAACAGTATGTCAGGCGGTTATAAAACTCCTGACGAACTCTCAAGAGGGTAGAAGGCTGTATTTGCCCGAGCGCTTCAACGATTTTCACCTGTAGGTTATGCATTCATCAGTAAACAAAATGTTACCAATAAAACTTCCATCCCTGTTCGCCTTCTCCATGACCGTTTCACAAAACTCCATTCGACGGTATTTGTCTAAAGGAAATATTTCTTGAACCGTTCCAACCTTGAAGCTATGATAGCCGTTGCGATGCAAAATATTTCTTGTTGTTCTGGGTGTGAGATCGGCTATTGGTACCATTTCAGCAATTTTTCTGCTTGAGCATGGCTCAGATACTTCTGCAGCGGCACAAACAGCAGTCTCGATCTCCTCCCTTTTCTCGCTAATTTTTGGTTTCCAACCTTCAGGGTGCATGCAGCTATGGCACTTATGTAAGCAGCCCACCCTCTTCAATTTTTCGTAGGTATTTATAACCGTTGCGTGAGACGGAATTGGCCGATCTGGGAAGCGTACCGCAAATAATTCAAACAACCGCGCGTGCTGAATTATTCTGGATGTACCATTCTATCATTTGAAACTTTTCTTCTTGCGAGTACATTTTTAAGATATGTTGGATTAAATAAAGACGCACCTTTCCTACACAAAACCCAACCGCAGAGTGAGTCATGCATCCCTTATCGCACTTGACGACGGCACGCGCGTTAACGGTAGGAAATATGTACGAATAGCGATGAAAGTAGACGAGCCGATGCGCTGTTCCCAAGAAATGATTTCCCACGTATAACAATGGTTTTTCCTAAGGCGTATAGCGTATGATTTGTCATATCTTGTATAAATCAATGATTTATGTTCTTTGTTTTAATTTCTCACCTGTGGGTTGTCCGCTGGACTGACTCCGTACAAGAACGCGCATATCTGAGCCCTTAGATCTGATATCGTAACGAACTTCTTAAGAACGTTCTTCGGCAGGATGTACGTGTATCCGGTCTCCTTGATATCGTCAGAACTGACGTAAATGTGGTTTGTACGAAGATGAAGATTCGTCGCAGAAATCGCCCTCACCCTCCATTCCGTCTTTGAACTGAACGTCTGCGTTTCATAATTGCTGAAATATAAAGAGAAGTTTATAGATTCAACGTACGAAAAAAGTTTCCGGTGGTAGTCTCCTAATAATTAATTATAATTTTTTAATTTTATGTGTGGTTCAAAGAAACTCAATGAATTCAAGAAACTGTCCACAAAATATTAGGAAACTTCCTTGGCTATATGAAAATACGAGATTCTCAGTTAGTTACGGACAAACTTTGTATATTTTTTTTTATATTTGATTCTGAAGAGATAAATGGTATTTTTCACACCTGGTGGTGCTTGTGATGATCTCGTCGCCGTGTTTGTTCACAGTCCTTGTAGTTGTGGCGGTGAGTTGAGACTGCTCTTTGGTTTGTTTCTCAATCTCCGCGATCTGTTGACGTTGCGCCGATGGAGCGCTGATTTCCATACCGAGGATGATGTCTCGGATTTCGGATTGAGTCAAAGATGCTACGTTTACACTGAAATGATAAACGTCTTTAAATAGCACAAATTTCTATAAGTAGCAAAACTTCGTCTATCAGAGGTAATATTGATAAAACTCTTACTTGTTTTTCTTGCCATAATCAGCCAAAATGAGATCCTTAAGCTGTACTTCCACTTTAATCCATTCATCGTCGGACAGAGTGGGCCAGATATGATGAGGCTCTGTTATCGTGGTTTTGTCAGGTTTTAAAATCACTTTTGTTCTTTCTGTGTTTACGTGCAGCGCTCTTAAAATCAGAATCAGTCTTGAAAATGCCTGAAAAGGAACAAAACAAAAATCTGTTACCCCAAAATACAGCTATGAGAATCATTTTAAATAAAAACAAATATGCTGGGATTAAGTCTATATAAGAAGAGCTGCAGTGGTTAAATGTCGATTAATATGTATGTTATTTAGTTCTCTTTTTCTAAAAAAATAATTCATTACTACCACATTTAGAAAACTTCACAAAATTAGACAGTCATTATCATAGCTATGAAAATAGAGGCAAAATTTGCAAAATTGTAATAGTAGCATGACTAGGAAAGTAGCGGACAAGAGTTTGGAAACAAATATGAACATTATTATGAACTATTTCATATAGTTAAATTAAAATTGTGAAGAAACAGATAATATAAATATTAAAGTCTATCTTTGGCTCGCGTACTAATACAAGGTTTATAATGGGTGATTTTTTGCTAGTATCTTTTTGGCAACACTGTTTTTGACAGATGACGCGTGAATCGTGTCAGTTTGGTCTATAATTTAACCATGAATCGACTTACGAACGGACAACGCTTGCAAATTATTGAATTTTACTATCAAAATTCATGCTCGGTTAAGAGAGTGCATCGAGCACTGCTTCCAATTTATGGGCAATTTGGTCGGCCTACTGAGGGAGCTATTCGGAAGCTTGTGACTAAATTTCGAACCCAGTTTACATTATTGGACATTAAACCACCAACACGCAGACGTAGAGTGAGGACTGAAGTAAATATTGCGGCTGTATCCGCCAGTGTTAGTGATGACCGTGAAATGTCGATTCGCCGCCGTTCGCAGCAATTGGGCCTCTGTTACTCCACTACGTGGAAAATTTTGCGACAGGATTTGGGAGTAAAACCTTATAAGATACAGCTGGGGCATGGATTGAAGCCACACGACCTCTCACAACGTTTCCAATTTGGTGAATGGTCGCTGGCAAACTTGGAGGAAGATCCACATTTTTATCGAAAAATTGTGTTCTGGTTGAATGGGTACGTTAACAAGCAAAATTGCCGCATCTGGAGTGAAGACCAGCCAGAAGCATTGCAAGAGCTACCAATGCATCCCGAAAAAATCACCGTTTGGTGTGGATTATGGGCCGGTTGCATCATCGGGCCGTACTTCTTCAAAGACGACAATGGCCGGAACGTAACTGTGAATGGCGAGCGCTACCGTGCGATGATAACAAACTTTTTTTTGCCCAAAATGGAAGAGCTGGACTTGGCTGACATGTGGTTTCAACAAGACGGTGCCACATGCCACACCGCACACGAAACAATGGCCCTATTGAGAGGCGTGTTCGGTGAACAGTTTATCTCACTTTGGGGCCCGTCAATTGGCCGCCTAGATCGTGTGATTTAACGCCGTTGGACTATTTCTTGTGGGGCCATGTTAAGGCTAATGTCTACAGGGATAAACCAGCAACGATTGACGCACTGGAAGCCGATATTGAAGCATTTATTCGTGAGATACCGGCCGATATGTTGGAGAGTGTGCCAAAATTGGACCTTGCGCATGGGCCATCTAAAGCGGAGCCGCGGCCAACATTTACATGAAATAATCTTTAAACATTAAATTATATCGACCGTTCTATCGACTCAAATAAAGATTTAATCGTTTTTTCAAATTTTTTGTGTTTTTTTTTTGAAAATCAAATCCTATACCTCTTAAAAAATCACCCGTTATTATCAATATTCAAATTCGCTGAAAATTAAAACACGCGTTTTTTTTAAATACCACAGTTTTTGTAACGATAAAAGTATGGAAACATTTCAGTTTTGCCGTATTTATTCGTTCTGCGATACTCTGATATTGCGTGCGGTAAATATTAACATCAGTGATGGCAAAATAAATGATTTTCGAAAGATTTAAGTGACAAAGTGATTGAATTATTTAGAGGTGGTGTCAGAAATGTTGAAATTTCTCAAAGATTAAAAATAAACAAAGGGACGAAATTATTAGTAAATATCAAGAGTACGGATCGCCAGCAACGCGGCCCAGGTGCGGAAGAACAAAAACTTCAAAAAGATATTCTTAGTGGAACACATGCTCCCTTTTGCTGAAGACATTCCAACAAGATAATGACCTCAAAATTCGCAAAGGACTAGTTAAGACTACAAAATGTTAATGTCCTTTCATGGCCTTCGTAATCCCCCGACCTAAACCCTATAGGACACCTCTGGGAGCATGTTAACAAAAACTGACAAGAAGAAGTTTTAAAAATAGGAACGATTTATTTGATTATGTAAAAAATATTTGGAAAAATACCCCAACAGACGTCTGTAAAAAATGGTGACTTCTATGAGCAGCAGCTGTCAGGCAGTGTTGGCTATGCTACCAAATATTGACTAAACAGTATTTTTTAAATCTTTTCCTAGAGTTATTGTATTACTTTTGTAATAAAAAATATGTTTCCATACTTTTGTCGTCTCATTTTTGATCATAAAATAATATTAAGGTTTTTTAATGCTAGTCTGTAGTAGCACAGCAAACACAAATTGTCATTTGTATCCTCAAGACTGTAAGCAAACTATATGAGAAAAAAATAGTGCTTAATAATCAAGAACACAAAATTAGCGCACTTTTTAAAAATAACAAACAATGTTTCCAAACGTTTGTCCGCTCCTGTGTATGTTAAAAAGATTTGAATCAAATACATTAAATACTGATATTAAACACTGCTCAAATTTAGCGATGTATTTTTAATAGACAAGAACGTAAAGTTACATGTGTTAAAGGATGATTATACAAACTGACATTGTAGCAGTAAATCTTCCAACAAACAAACGTAATTACTAAATGATATTTTATGCATTTCTCTAAATTTTTAACTCAGTTTCCAAGATGAAGTTTTAGAGATTGGATTTAGGTTATTCGATATAGATTTTTAATGGCAAAATTCGAGTCGAACTTTTCAATAAGAACGTTTATCAAAACAAAAAGAGGTCTTAATGATTAAAGCTGTTCAAAATTGGCATGATGAAGATGGAATAAGTTTAATGTCATTTTATACTCACTGTATACGATGAAATCGTCTTCAGCCAATCATCGTACAAGTTGAACAGCACCATCTGGGGCTCGGTAGCTTTCAGGATCAAATCTCCGAACTTCTCGATCTTCAAGCAAGCCTGGAACGGTAGTTGAAGCTCGGATCCCTTGATGACAATATTAGGGAAGTCCAAAAGATGCACTTCCAAGGGATCCAACATTCCCTTTCTGGTTACGATGATCTGTTTTGGCTGTTCTTCTACCGGAAGGGAACGAATCAGGGCAGCCACTTCTTCGGCGGTTTTCCATTTCGCCAACTGAAATATTATTTTTAGACTCAATATAAAAGATTTGTCAACCGAATTTGGGTTTTAAATAAAAACTTCAGAAAATTAAAGTCATTATCCTAACTATGAAACCAAAAGTGGTATAGAGTTTCTTCTGCAAAATTGTAACAACATAACTAGCAGATCTGCATGTCCAAAGTGAGTATTTGGATTTAATAAACTGTATAACGATATTAAACAAAAAATGTTTAAAGTGAAATTAAAAAATCACTTTATGAACATCCAAAATGCATACCATTGTAGTTTTAATAGAAAATAATGTAAAATTACACAACACTGATTCAAAAAGTGTGTGAAAGAATAGTGATACAAAATTGATATTTTAACAAACAAATTGGATTGATTCTTGAGTGCTGTGATCAGAGAACAGTAATACAGTTTTATGCAACTTTTAAAAGTAAGGATTAAGAAAGAAAAATGATATTATCAATCATCATTTACCTGTCCCAAACGCTTCTGTCCCGCCCACACAGACGTATGGATAATCTTCAAGAAGAGCTGTCCAGTCCTCGGATTGAAAATGAAGATAGCCCCGTTGATAGGCTTCGTGGTTAAGTTACCCTCGAATGTCTTATGTATGGTGACTCGGTAAACGTTTGTATCGTCCACGAACCAGATGATCTGATTGGAGAATAGCTCTCCGTAGTTTTGACTGGATAGGTAAGGTTCGGTAGGTTCGCTAGAGTACAGTTGTAGGGCTTTTCGGATACGCTCTCGGAGTACGTATAGAGCAGGATTCGCTTTCATTATCTTGGCCATAGCCTGCTGAATTAGAGGTTTGCAGCCAGGGAACCAGTTGCCATACGCGCTGAAATAAGAAAGGAAAATATGGAACATGCAAAAGTGGGTCAAGACAATACAATAATCTTGAAAAAAAAACGAATTAGAAAATTTTTAAAAAATTATACAGGGTGTTTTAGTTTATTGTTGCATAACTTTAAGATTCGATAGAACTTTTAAAATTAATGCATAAAGTCCTATATAAACATGGGTCGAATAATGCGTGGCTTCCGAAATACAGGGTGTTTAAATTTACTTTCTAAAATAGTTTTTTTTAAATATTTCGAACAATATTTGATGTATAATAGTGAAAATTGGTATACAAGGGTTTTTTGGTACGACAAAAGGAACCATGGGCATAGTTTTACTGTAGCCGCTAGAGGGCGCTCTCTACTGTACCTGTAGTGTATTAAAATGACCGAAAAAATTTTCTTAGTGCAATTTTTTGCTTTTTGAATAAAAAAACTGATTCTTCGCACTTTTCAACATAAAAAAGCTCTCCTGTGAGTTTTCGTTATAGTTAGCCGTTTTTGAGATATTTCGATTTTTAAGTGTCGATGCATTTTTAATTATTTATGGGAAAATAATATTTTTTTTACATTTTCGATTTGGGTATTACAAGTAATTAAGATGATCGTTTAGATTGTGTTTTTAAACACAGCAATAATTCCTAACTCCAAATAAACACAAAAAAACACAATATTAATTTGTTTAATTTTCCAATATTATTTTTAACAAGTTGAATTAATTATTTACAACTAAAATGCTATAGGATAGTTAGGACAAACATACAAAATCTAAAGTAGTTGCTCGAAATGTAAACCCAATTGTTCAATACACAATTCACATCTACGAATGATCGAACGTGGTATAGCATTATTCAAATAAGGCCTTATTTCATCACATGCATTCCTAATTCTGTCTATTAGCATATCTCTTGTGGTTACGGGAGTCTTGTACACTTTTTATTTTAGAAATCCTCACACAAAGAAATCTAATGGATTTAGATCAGGGGATCGTGGAGGCCAGGCGACTGGTCCTCCACGGCCGATCCATCTTTCTGGATAATTTTCGTCCAGCCAGTTTCTAACTGTTCTCGAATCATGAGCTGGACAACCATCAAGCTGGAACCAGGCCAATCTTCTTAAATCTAACATAACATCATCCCAGATATTTGCATGTTCAGCCTTTAAAAATTCCAAGAAGGTCGCAGCATTTAACCTTGCAGGCAAAAGGTAGGGTCCAAATAGTCGATTACGGTAGATACCAATCCACACGTTCACACTAAATTCATGCTGAAAATTTCTTTCCCGAACTTCATGCGGATTTCCATGCGACCAAATATGTTGATTATGAAAATTTACCACTCCACGTCTAATGAAGCATGACGCATCGGTCCATAAAACGTTACTTAAAAACTCCCTATTATTATCAGTTCTATCAAGAATCCACTGACAAAATGTGATTCTTCGTTCTCCGTCCCCTGGCTGTAGTCCTTGCACAGGTTGCAAATGGCAAGGACGTCTATGGTCATTTCTAAGAACACGGTGAACATGGCTTGATGAAATTCCCAAGGCACCAGAAACTCTCCTAACACTTGTGGTCGGAACTCTATCAAACTCACGCAGAATCATACGGGTAAATCTGCGCTGACGAACATTTATGTTTTGATCCCTTTGGAGATTTCCAAAACCATTTTCAATTATTTGGCGATGCACTCTTACAAATACTGAGCGAGTTGGATGTCGTCTGTTTGGAAATCTTCGTGCGTATTCTCTGGCTGCTTCTGCTGCGTTTCCATTTACAAAGCCATACACAAAATGAATATCCGCTAACTCTTGATTGGAAAATAAAAATGGCATTTTTATAAAACTTACAAAAAAAACAGGTAAAAGAAACTAAATTTCGTGGATTCACAATTGCAAAAAAACGTTTCAGGTTTCAACAGACAACAAAACTAACTGTCGACTAATTGACGTTTAACCTTATTCTGCTTTCAATTTCAAAAATATTTGCAGGCACAGCCTACTTCTAAAAATTATCGAGATACTGACTTTTTAACGTTATTTTATCATATATAATTAAAAATGCATCGTACCTTGAAAATCGAAATATCTCAAAAACGGCTAACTATAACGAAAATTCACAACAGAGCTTTTTTATGTTGAAAAGTGCGAAGAATCAGTTTTTTTATTCAAAAAGCAAAAAATTGCACTAAGAAAAATTTTTCGGTCATTTTAATACACTACAGGTACAGTAGAGAGCGCCCTCTAGCGGCTACAGTAAAACTATGCCCATGGTTCGTTTTGTCGTACCAAAAAACCCTTGTATACCAATTTTCACTGTTATACATCAAATATTGTTCGAAATATTTAAAAAAAAACTATTTTAGAAAGTAAATTTAAACACCCTGTATTTCGGAAGCCACGGATTTTTCGACCTATGTTTATATAGACTTTATGCATTAATTTTAAAAGTTCTATCGAATCTTAAAGTTATGCAACAATAAACTGAAACACCCTGTATTTTTGAAAGTTGGGAAAAATGGATTTGAAAATTAGGAAAATAATTGGAAAATTTGGAAATTTTGAAAAAGTTTTGACAATTTCAAAATTTCTAAAATTTTTGAATTAAATTTATATTTATTGTCAAATATAAAATAGATATACCAAAAATCGCATTTTTTTTCGTTTTGAGACAAAAAGATTCAAAAAATAATTCAGCTTGAAAAAATTAAAAAACACGTCTTCAAAAAATTCAATTACAGTAAAAAAGCGAGAGTATATTTTCGTAGTAACTTCAATTTTGTAAATAGCCACTAAAAAAATGATTCTAAGATTTAATATCAAGCGCTCCACGCGTTTTTACGCCTAAAAATAAAAATGTTTTGATTCATACGACAGATTTTATTAGGTTTTGAAAAAAAATGTTATGCTGCCGCAACCTATATGTTCTGAAGTTACTATGTCTATGTTATTAAGATTTAGTTGGAAATAAAAAAATTTCATTTTGAAATATGGAGAATTTCGTCTGTCAGGAACCATCAAGGAAGGTCTTGGAATCTATGCTAATTCAATTATATTTTAAAAAACTACAAAAATTATAACTCAAATTAAAAAAAGTCTCTTAGTTTATTCTTAGTATGCTCATCTTTCTGGAAAATGAGAAAAGAAAAAATGTGGAAGGACAGCCAGAAATTATTAGAAACAAACGTTATGTTGGTTGAAAATTTTTATCCATAAAAGAAACTTCAGAAAAAATTGCTCTATAACAGATTCAATTATAACACAAACTGAAAAAAGCCTTCCGAGTTTATTCTTAGTATGAATCATTTTTTTTTAAATGAGCAAAGAAAAGATGTGCAGGGACAGCCAGAAATTATTAGAAACAAAAGTAACGGTTGAATAGTTTTATCTATAGAAGAAATTTCAGAAAAATTTGTTCTATAATAGATTTAATAGCACATATATAATTACAACACAAACAGATGAGGCGTCCGAGTTTATTCTTAGTATGAAACATTTTTTATTCTTAAAAATTAGCAAAGAAAAAATGTGTAGGAAGAGCCAGAAATTATTAGAAACCAACGTAATGTTTCAATAGTTTTAACCCTAAAAGAAACTTCAGACAAATTTATAATGGCTCAATAGCACATTAATGCCTGCTTTGAGGGACATGCAATTACAACCATATTGTTAGAGACTGCAAATGCAACGTTGTGGAACAGATATACTTCATATCACATCAAATTACAAATGAAAAACAAGCATATCGTCAAAGCACATATAATAACTCTGCCAACAAGAATTGCCACTAACCTGTGTAAATTGTAAGCAAGATCTATGGCGATCAGCACACCAGTTGGAGAAGGATAGATGGACATGTTGTCAGTGGTGTAGTCCAAAAATTTAGCTCTTGCGTATCTTTCAACGTCGTGAGAATCATAGTCACCCCATCTTAGTTGGACATCGATCCAATACTTCTGGGTTGTTGTATTATCCATTGTATCTCTGAAAAAAAATGATATTTTCCATGTAACTATTTAGAACACCCTGAACAAAGTAAATTGATAACTACATTACTTTTTTGTACTTATATCACTGTTAAGCTGCTAACAGTTAATACGTACAAAAATTGAAAATTTTGACCTCTATAGAAGGAAATAAAAAATTATTTTGCACGCCACTGACTTTTTAAAAAATCTATGGTATTTTTGAACAAGGCATCCAATTCTGCATTAATGAGAAATTCCTGTCAGACTACTCCTTTTGAAGAAAAAATAGTTTGAATACTTGACGTAAAATCCATAAAAAAATACTTGAACCCACACCACTTTGAAAATACGCTGATATTAGTGAAGTTTGACACTGAAAATTGTATCGTTAATCGAAAATATTCATGCCGTATCTTTATTCAGCCTCATCGGTGGCATAAAAAAACACCCTGTATCATGGCAATGGGGTATTTCAAGGTCTATGTTTATAGGATTTTTTTGGATGTACTTCCTACTGTATAAATCAATGATCGTATTTTTTTTAGTTTCATATAAACACATCTCTGAAATATGAACTTACTTTGTATCTGCTAATAATGATGGCCTTGAAACATTCCACTTGTACGCAGAGAATAAAAGAATATCTGCACAAGATGAATTCATTTTATAAGATTTTCTGGGATGGATAGTTTCTTTCTGGACTGTCTCTATTTCTAGGGCATCCAGTTCTTGGTCAAATACCTAGAATATGTGAAACAACTATCAAACATTAAAAAAAATAAAAGACAGTATATGCATCAATCTTGATGTACAAAGCCCAAATATAGAAATATGTTCCTCAACATTTTAGAACTTTCCTAAATAATTCCAGCGTCAAATAAAATATTATAAAAGCATCAGCTAAATAGATACAAGTTGTATTATGGATTGTTATTTGATAAAAAATATTCTCTATTTACTGACCTGACAAAGATCCATGACGATAGATTCGTGCACCTTCTGCCACAAGTGAGCCCTGAAGATCTGAATCAGCGAAATCTTCAACGTGGGGATTTTACCGTGCATGAATATTCCTGTTAGATCGAGTTGTACCTGGAAACCAACGTAGACGTTGGCTCTGTTTATGGTCGGTGACCACCACAGGGTGAATCGACGATTGGGAATTTGGTTCAAACCAGAACGCTGGGCGTTGGTCAATTTTTTATATTTCATTGACTCTTCGAAACCGGACGCCTTTTCCCTGGGGAGAAAACAACAATTCAAGCAAAGGGATTTGGGAGTAATTACAACAAATGATTTGAAGCGGGATACGCATATACAAGGAGTGTCATAAGAGTGTTGGCGATTAAATTCTTAAATTTCTCGGAAACGCGGGGCGCGGGTTGGGGGGGGGGATAAGCTGTTAGCCGCGCCGTTGCCTGGAAATTCAAAATGAGGGCAAGTTAAAGCTAAAAATTATTGCAATATGTCTTACTTGTGGATTAGAAGGACATTCAACAGAAAACTGTAGTACCAGTGAAATGTACAAATGCTGTCCAAATTGTAAAAGTGCAAACCAGGATTTTAATCTAGGATTACCTATTAATCATGGACCATTTGACAAAAATTGTGAAGTATATAAAAGGAAAATTGAACGTGAGAGGGAAAAAATTAATTATGCAAATGAATAGCAACTACTAAGCTCAGATTTGCAAGACGTGGCTAAATCTGTAAGTGATGAATATAACTCAATATACCATTTAAACATACAAGGAGTCCTGAATAATATAGATAAAGTTCAACAGTTTTTAAGATGGAGAAAACCACTTGTATTATGTCTTACCGAAACACATGCTACAGAAGACATCACTAATGGTGAATTACAAATTATTAATTATAAAACCTACAGATGCAACTCCAACTCCAGACATACTGGAGGTGTAGTGATTTATGTTTACCACAAAATACAGATCACATTATTCGATTGTACCACTTTAGACTATGCATACTGGTATGCACATATACAGTTCAAATTATTTGGGAAACGTTATGATCTTTGTACTTTTTACCGTTCACCAAACAGTGATGCAGATACATTTTTAACGTTTTTTGAAGAAAAATGCGAAGAAATGTGGAATTTTAGAAACAATATAATACTTTTAGGTGATTTTAATTTAAATTATTATGGTAAAAGCATGAAAACAAAAAAATTGAAAGAAACCATAAACAACTATGGGTTCAAGCAAAAAATTGAAGAGAGTACCAGAATAACATCATTATCAGAGACTTTGTTAGATCTTGTTATTGTAAATTTCGAATGTGCAGGGATTAAAGCTGTACATACACCTAAAGTTAGCGATCACAGTTGGACAATGCTGCCCTTGGTAGGGCATTTTTCTGATACAAAAATTAAGAAAATCGTAAATACTATTAAGTACGAAAAACTTGAACGAGAACTTGCTGGCTGCTATTGGAATTTTGGTGAGAATATGGAAAAAATATATGACAACATAATAGGAAATATAAAAACTTGTTTAGATCTTGCAACTGATAAAAAAGTGATTTGCTCGACAAAAAATACACCCTGGTATAACAAGAATATTAAGGCAGCTCAAAATTTGAGAGACAAACAATACAATAAATGTATATTCACAAAATCAAATGATGATTGGGAGGTATATAAAACTCTTAGGAATAAATGTGTATATGTAATTAGAGAAGAAAAAAGAAAATTCTACGATAAACAAATCGATAATAACAAGTGCGACAGTGTAAAGATGTGGAAGACTTTAAAAGGACTGATCAATTCGAAGCCGCATGATTGTGTAAATCAAGTTCAATTCGAAAACGGTACCGAAACAAATTCTTTGGTGATTGCAAACAAACTAAATGAATATTTTGTGGAAAGTATTGTTGATATTGTAGGTACTGCCAATGCTGCACCTGACTATATGAAAATCAGTTTCCAGGGGGAAATGTTGCATACACTTTCAAAATTTCACAGCGTATCATTGAATTATCTAAGAAAAAAAGTAAACAGTTTAAAATCAAATAACAACTGTGCCGAAATGACTACTAAAAACGTGCTGAAAAACTGTTTCGAAATTTTGGGATATCTTGTATTAAATTGGATCAATTGTTCACTGAGAAGTAGTTCTTTCCCTGAAAATTTGAAATGCTCTACAATAACACCAGTTCCCAAAATAAAAAATTCTAAAAGATGCAGCGATATGAGACCAGTAAATGTGTTACCAGACATTGAAAAATTATTAGAGTCCATAGTGCATGACCAATTAATGCAGTTTATAGAAGAAAACAAAATTTTAGTGGAGGCGCAAGCAGGCTTTCGAAAAAAATATTCCACAGAAACAGCTTTCCAGTTGGTAACTAAGAATTGGAGAAGAGCCATAGACTCAGAAGAAGTTGTCATAGCAGTATTTTTGGATTTGAAGAGGGCATTTGAAACGATTGATAGAGATATTTTGTTAGGTAAATTGAAGGCATATCGTATAACAGGAAGTGTTTTAGATTGGTTTAGAAATTATTTGTCTAAAAGGATGCAAGTTACAAAAGTTAATGACACTATTTCATCAAAAATTGAAAATACGTTGGGTGTTCCACAGGGCAGTATCCTGGGACCACTTCTTTTTATTTTATACATAAATGATTTACCTGCCATAGTCAAAAAATGCAAAATTCAAATTTTCGCCGATGACACTATGATTTATATAAGTACTAAAAATATTCAGTCTGGTATCTCTTATATAAATGAAGACTTGAAGCTTGTCTCAAAATGGTTAGCATCTAACAGACTAAAATTAAATGCAAGTAAAACGAAAGCCTTGTTAATCGGAAAAAAACAATGTACAAATGTTCAACTGAATATTGATGGTGAAGATATTGAATTCGTAGAAAATTTTAAATACCTGGGAGTTTTTGTTGACTCTCGATTAATTTTTGATTTTCATTATGAAAAAGTTATAAATAAGATTAGTAGTAAAGTGGGATATTTATCGAGAGTTTCTGGATGTCTGAGTTCATATAGCAGAAAAATTATCTATAATACCATCATTCTTCCAAATTTCTTGTACTGTTCGACTATTCTATATTTAGCAAATAATTCCATTTTTGAAAGACTGCAAATTTTACAAAATAAGTGCATGAGAATAATACTAAATAAAGATAAATATACTCCAATTAGGCAAATGCTTAGCAAATTAAAATGGCTCAATGTAAAAAATTTTATCAAATATCTTGTAATGATATTCATTTATAAAGTAAAAAATAATATATTTCCATCAAGTCTAACTAATTTAACATCATCAAATGTCGACCATCATTTACATAATACCAGAAATAAAGATGACTTCCATTTAATGACCAAAAAGTATAACATATGCTACAAATCTGTATTCCATCAAGGGTTGATTGAATATAATAAATTATACTCGGAGATAAAAGACCAGAAAACTTTGACAAAATTTAAAGTAAAATTGAGAAATCACTTGTTAAATCTACAATTATAGGTTGCCCAGCATTTACATCATACATCATATGGCTTGAATTTACTAGTTCTAAGTTGTTTACAATTGTTCTGTTTATGTAGCCAAATGTGCTAAATAAATCTTTCTACTACTACTACTACTAATATGATAACAGACTTTTTGGCGCCAGCTTTGCGAGAACTCCAAGGCAATACCTCTAGAATGTGGTTTCAACACGATGGGGCCACATGTCATATAGCTAGGGAATCTACAGAGCTGCTGAAAAATGTCTTTCCCGAAAAACTCATTTCGAAAAGGGGGGATATTGAATGGCCACCACCCCAATATTTCTCCATGCGATTATTTCAAAATGGTGGTCTACAAGAATAATCCAACTAATTTAGAGCAGCTGAAGAGGAATATTGTTAAGAAAAGTAACAATATACCGAGAACAACTTTTCAACGAGTTTTCCAAAATCTGCAATTTCAGTTTCAAGAGTGCCAAGCAGCCAAAGGAAGTCATTTGAACAACATTATTTTTAAGCGTTAAAAACTCCTATCTTTCTACTTTTTAAAAATAAATCTACTTTTCTTTTATATTGCGTAGTTATTTTTTAAATGAATATTGAAATTGCCAAGTCCTTTATGGCCCACCCTGTATAAGTTTAATAGTTAAAAAGGCCAACTCATATTTTCCTGTTTTCTCGAACATTGAAATAGTTTCAAAAATTCACAAGCAGAATATAAGACCCACACTTAAATATATACGGAGCGCCTATTATGCAAAAGACATAGACACAAGTGCAACATACAAATCTTCAATCTATCGACTCGTTATCAACTTAAGGGGCATCAATACGAATTATTCAAGGAAAGGTGTTCCACACTACTAAGGTTTATTTCAAACTACATAACCCCATTAAATACATAAAATTCTTCATAAGAATTATGCTTACCAGAAGAGACCCTCCCAAGTGGGGAAATATGTTCCTTTGAACAAAGTATGTTCCAAGATGCCTTCAACACCACCTAGTGCTTGGATCATGTCAGTACGATAATTATTCAGATTCCACAGTTTACCGTCGTGACGTTGGTGAGTCCACCAGAATGGATTCTGTTTCAGCACCTGTTAAAATAAAATAAATGGTTTAAATCCAAAAAAAATCATTTGAATAGAAAATAGACGCAACAAGAGAACAAAAAAGTGACATTCAAAATTACCTGATATTGCTTGAATTCCGTCCTGATCCTCCACCCTTTATCATACGCCAGAGTATGCCTATCCTTCTGGAAGAGAGTGTTGATCCTGGGGATTCCTCTGTCCCAAGAGTCTTCCAAATCTTCCAGAGTTAACCTTCGGTTCTGTGCATTTGCTTCTTGCCTCTTCAACGCATACTCGGCCCACACTCTCTGCGAATCTATGAACTCAGACTCCCAAGGCTGGATGTAACGGTACAAGTTAGGGATCAACTGGTCTTCATCATGGCTAATACCTTAAAAAAAACAGAGGTTTTTTACAATACGATGATGCTTTTAAATAATGTACATTATCCAGCACAATAAATATAGAAACGTTTGGTTTAAATATATTACCTGATCTGAAATGTGTGATGCCCACGTCAGTTTGCTTCGACCATCTCAAATCAGACTGCGGAATAAGGACGTGGCCCATAGACAACATGCCCAGACCTCCCAGCTCCTTGGGGGTGTAGAACACGACCGGTGGAAATCTGCTAGGCATTTTTGAGTTCAAACCGATCTTGATGCGAGTTTGAATTTTATTCTCGCATTTCACCAACAAATCGAGCAATTCTTGAGTGTTCACGACTGCTTCTCTGAAGTACGTCATCAGACCTATCAGGGCTGTATTCCATTTGTTGACAATCTGTAAAGGAAGATCAACTTTATGACAAACCATAAATAAAACTGTATAGAATTCGTGTAATCCTCTGTTGAAAATTGAGATCCTTAATTTTTAATCACGGATAAACCTTCGGATTGTAGTCAAAAATGACTGAAAAATACATAAAGTAAAGAATACCTTGGTGAAGGTTGTGGATCCAGATGCCATCAGAATCTGCCTGACTCTGTTGTGGAACCGGCTCATAGATTCATCATCAACCCTCAAAAAGCACTGAGCAGTCCTCTCTTTGCTACCTTCATGCTGAAGGTTCCACACACCGTCTCTATGAGTGAACTCTTCATGTTGAGTACGACACTGGAAAAAAGTGCATATTATCATCTTGTTATTTGGATCACCTAAAATCTTATATTTTAAAGAGTTTATAGAAAAAAAACAAACATCAGGCAAAAGAATTTACAGGGAGAACTCGCGAGAGACACTGGCATTTTATTTTTCTGATTATTGTCATGGTTTGTCACTGTGCTGTAACTTTTGTTGAGTTTTATCATTTTAGGACCGCGCGTCCTTTTTCCGTTTTTTTTTCCACTACCTGTTTGCAACAGTATTCTAAATCCTTTCCATCTGGTCACTTATTGATGTGTATAGATGAATGAAAAACATCGTTTTTAATTTTGTTTTGTCATAAAATGCATTTTTTGGGCATTTTATTGAAGATTTTTTCTTCGATCGTAACTAACAAATACTGGGTGCGCCATCTATTACTTTTTTTTTACCTATAAGTTTATGTGTTAACATGTAAGTCAAAAGTCACGTGGTATGCATAAATGAACTGTCAAAGGTATGCCATTTATAGTCATGGATTCGTTTACAACACAACAACGCATTTTGGTTATCCAAACTTATTACGAAAACGGTCGAAATATAAAAAATACTTTTCGCAAACTTCGCACTAGTTTTGGCCGACGTCGACGCCCTACAGAGCCTGGAATTCGTTGGATTGTTCAGCTGAAGGTCGTAGACCATACCAACCTGCTGATCCAGCTCGTACTAGTGAAAACATAGCCGCAGTGAGTGAAAGTGTGCGAGAAGGTCCAACCAGCTCGACTAGGCACCGTTCGCAACAATTTTGAATTAGTGAGACCACTTTACGCCGGATTTTACACATTGATTTACACCTCCATCCATACAAAATCCAGCTAACACAAGAATTGAAGCCGGCAGACCATCAACAGCGGCGTGTTTTTGATAATTGGATGCTGGAAAGAGAAGACGGATTTTCGGCCAGTGCTCTTTTCTGATGAGGCTCATTTTCACCTCAATGGGTACGTAAATAAGCAAATTCTGGGGGGCTGAAAATCCACACCAATATCATGAACAACCTCTCCATCCTGAAAAAGTGACTGGTGCGGATTATGGGTTGGTGACATCATTGGACCATTCTTCTTTGAAGATTCGGAAGAAAAGGCCATTACCGTCAACGGGGAACGTTATCGCGGCATGTTAACAAACTTTTTGTGGCCACAATTGGATCGTATTGGTGCCGACGATCTTTGGTTTCATCAAGACATAGCAACGGCTCACACATCTCGCCAAACAATCGCCTTATTGCACATGAAATTTCAAGACCGCATAATTTCACGAAATTCAGATGTCAATTGGCCCCCGAGATCGTGCGATTTAACACCTCTTGACTATTTTCTTTGGGGATTTTTGAAAGGAAAAGTGTATGCGAATGGTCCCCGGACCTAAAGCGCAATATTCGCACTGAAATTGCGGCCACAGACCTGATTATTCTGCGAAAAGTCATTGAAAATTTTGATGTTCGGATGTTGGACTGTAAACGAAGCCGCGGTGGTCATATGACTGATGTTATTTTTCATACATAAATGGCATAAACCAACCTTCATTTATCAATAAAAAAATTCGATTTCACCTCATAAAAAGCGTGTTGATTTTTCAAATAGAAAAAAGTAATAGATGACGCACCCTGTATTAGTACAGCTCTGAAATTTTAAGTGAATATTCCACTCTTATGGATGAATGAAACAAGTGATTACATTTATTCTTATCACTTTTGCTCTTCGAAAAAAACTTTGCCTTTCTTGAAAACTTGACTTGCTGCGAGTCGAGGCTTCAAGATTTTCCGAAAAGGAAAAGTGATAAGAACAAAAGTAATCACTTGTTTCATTCATCCATAAAAGAGGAATATTCACACACAATTTCAGAGCTGTACTTATATTTGTTGAAGAAAAAAAAGCACCATAAAATGCATTTTTTTGATAAAAAATGAAAACATTGTTTTTTAGTCATCTCTATACACACCATGCAATTATCAGACGAAAAGAATTTAGAATACTGCTGCAAACAGGTAGTTGAAAAAAAATCTAAAAAAAGGGACGTGCCACCTTAAGACGGCTAATAAGAAAATGGGGTCAACAAAGAATAAAAAATAAGTATTTTCAAGCAACCTATACTCCAACTTTGTTATCTGCCGTTTTTTGTCGAATGATGGAAAAATCTCAAACGAGCATGGCAATGAAAAATGTCTTCAAGACACTTTATAGGTTTAGTATGTCATTTTAGCTAAATCGCCAATCATGACATTCTTTTGATAAAATTGGCTTTCTATAACTCTTCACCCAATAGCATTGCATTGATAGAGTCCTATCTGCAGGAGAGGTATCAAACACAGTAGATACTGGTCTGCAAAGAGGAAGATATCGGTAGGAGTGCCACAAGGTTCTGTCCTAGGCCTCATACTCTTTCTCACCTATACCAATGATCTCCCAAATAATGGGTTAATGCAGATGACACATCAATATCTCTGCCTGTAGGTGCTTTATGTATCCCAAGACAAAACGTCTATATCAAACCTTCGAAGATGCTCACGATAGAACACCAGAAATAAAGAGACATTTGATCCCTATACATTGGCGAAAGATGTCAAGATGGTCTGGGGCTCTGGGCAATTAAATTTCATACATTTCAAAATGATGAATCTTGTAGAAGAAAACACAATTTCTGTTAGTGCGGGTGTTGAAGACGATTTGCGAAAAATGAAATGTAACACGAACTTGAATTTTTACGGATTTAATATAAAGAAACATAGGGAAGATAGGGCTGATGTGGACTCGCGAACTAATTATAACTCGGTTCTGCCCTTGGACGCACACGTGCACTTGTCGAATTTCGAGGGAAAATAGACATAAGCCAGAGATTAAAAAAACATGTCTTTTTGTAATCAATGTAGTTCCTCGCCCTACGCTGGTACCGACGTTGAAAAAACTAAACAATATTCAAGTATTTAAACTAACCTTAGGAAGGATTCTGCACTCAAATCCGGACATGTTAAAGAGCAAGTTTGGATTATCCTTGGAATAAACGCTGACGAAACTATTCTCCCACTGAATAGTCGTAACAGACCTTGGTAGACGATTCTTGATATCCCAAAATACAGCTCGTCCCCTGAAAAATGAAACGCTTTAGCACAATTCCAACCAATCTCTGCGAACTTACAAATTGACGTCGTGTTTCATCAGTCGCATCCTCGCGTCTCTGGGCCAGCATTTCTTGTTATTGTATCCTACGATGTTTTCGTTGTTAGGATCAGGATGTTCTGTGAGGTATCTTTGAATCAGATCTTTGGCTTCCTCAGCCGTAAATCTGAAGAACATGTGGATTTTGTCCACGTAACGGCAGTACAATCTGATAGGGTGACACGTTTCAGTTTGAACATCTTGGAAGGTTAAGAAGTCGTTCGGCATTTGTGGAGGTCCCGCCATTTCACTCGCTCTTTGAAGGCCTATGGGAAAAAATATATAATAGTAACCCAGGATGAGAAGTAAGCCATTCTACGACGATTTCACCTTCCCGCAGGAAAGAATGTTCGCGTATGGATAACAGATAAAAAAATATTAAAATACATACCTAATACTAGAAGGTCCAAAACTAGACCATAATACTGGGTGATGAAAGAAGCAAACTGTAGACCACGGATGATGCCATAACTGTTTGTGTGATTCATGTCCTTATAGTTGATGACTACGTTGTTTTTGGCTGTCATGTAATCAGCAATGTTGTGATCGACGATGAGACGCAGCAATCTGCAAATAGTATATAGAATTAGTAAGAAAAGACAAGTATTCTCATCAAGCATTTGGTTTGTCTTACAAGCAAAAATAGTTTTCATCATCAGCTGCTAAACATAAATATAATAGTTACTACAAATCTTTTACCGCAAATGCCAAATTCTGTAAAATATCTGCATCTGAACGAAACCGCGATTTTATGAAGCAGGTAGGTTCAAACCAAAATTGAAAGGCTGGAATTCTATGTATAATCTGTATGCTTGTTAGACAAACAGTAATTGTTATAAAGTACGATTTACCTATTCAGCAAGGTCAAATCTATCTTCTCATACAGTTTTTCAAACTTGGATTCCAGAAGAACGTTGCACTCTCCCTCACCGACGTCCCAAACATCTTGAAGGTTGTTGATACCCTGGCACCACTTGTACACTAATAGTGGTGGAGGCTCAGTGTCTGCTGGTTTGATCCAAGGCGGGAACAACCGTCTTTTATCTGCTTCATACCTACAGGAAAATAACGTTTCTAAAGACCGATGATAATTGCTGAAAACTCATCTGACTTGGACAGAACGACAATGGAAAACAGTTTATGGAGCAATGAAAGCAAATTTAACTGACGGTACCGCATATGTGAGACGCCCAATAAGAAAAAGATTCGAGAAAAAGTATCAGTTGTCAACAGTTAAGCACGGTGGAGGCAACGTTATAGTTTGGGGATGTTTTTCTAGTTCTTGAACGGGTCCAATTAATTGTTAAAATTGTTGGGAAAATGGATCAAAAAATTTACAAAGATATTCTTAGTGAACAACCCTCCTTTTTGCTGAAGAAGAATGATGGACATTCCAGCAAGATAATGACCTCAAAATTCTGGACTGGTTAAGACTAAAAAATGTTAATGTTCTTACATGGTCCTCTCAATCCTGGACCCAAGTCCTATAGAACACCTCTGGGGGTATATTAAAAGAATACTGACAAGAGCTTTTGAAAATAGGAACGATTTATTTGGATATGTAAAAAATATTAATGAAATTGCGTCACTATGGCTTTAACGGATCAGTATTACACATTTTACAAAATTATTTAGTAAATAGAAGTTAAAAAACTTAAGTTGGAAATATTATGTCAAGTGTTCAAAATATATCAGTAGGGGTGCCACAGGAAGTAAATTAGGGCCGTTACTATTTATTATTTATATAAATGATATCTCTGACATTTTAGAACACTGCAATATTCAAATATTTGCGGACGATACATTTATATATATATATATATATATAGCACATAAGCATTTGGACACTGCTTTAGAACTGTTAAATAGTGATATTGAAAAAAATATGAATTGGTTAAATGTCAATAAACTTAAACACTAATAAAACAAAATGTATGTCAATAGGGAAACATTTAGGTGACAATAGAATTAGGCTAATGATTAATGATAAAAAAATTTAAGTAGTCGAGTCATTTAAATATCTTGGTATATATGTGGATAGTGTTTTACGAACATTAATGATACATTATTTCAAAAATATCGAAAAAGATGAATTACTTCTATAGAGTTTTCCATAATCTTAGTATGTATTCCAAAAAAATTGTGTGTAATACTATAATTCTTTCCCATTTTTTATATTGTTCAACCATCTTGTTTACAGCAAATGAAAACATATTTTCAAAACTACAAATTCTACAAAATAAAGCTATGAGAATCATTTTAAACAAAAACAAAAATTTCATATATTATTTAGTTCTCGTTTTCATATTCAAATTAAAAAATCATTTATTACCACCACATTTAGATAACTTCACAAAATTAAATAGTCATTATCATAACTACGAAACTAGAGGCAGTATATATTTTCATCTGCAAAATTGTAATAGTAGCATAACTAGTAAATCTATATTTCAAAAGGTAGTATTTGAATTTAATAATAATTTTGTAACGATATTAAACAGAGTTCGAATTTAAAAATGTTTAAGGTGAAATTAAAAAATCACTTTATGGATAATCAAAATACATAGTGACGTAATTTTAATTTTAATGGACAAGAATGTAAAATTACAGAAAATGGATTGAAGAAAAATATGTAACCGAATCATTATACAAAATTGACATTGTAGCATTAATGCTAAAATAGTGTTGAATGCTAAAGGCTATGCCACCAAATATTACCTAAACAGTATTTTTTAAATATTTTTTGTGAATTATTGTTTTTAATTTTGCAGTAAAAAATATGTTTCCATACTTTTGTCGTCTCATTTTTGGTCATAAAACAATAAGAAGGTATTTTAATACTAGTCTATAGTAACACAGCAAACACAAATTGTCATTTGTATCCTCAAGAATGTAAGCAAACTATATGAGAAAAAATAGTCCTTAATAATAAAGAATAAAAAATTAGCACACTTTTTGTTCGGTACCGCATGTTTAAACCAATTGAGTTCCAGCACAACCATATTTGTTTAATTTTCCAATAGTCAATTTTTTTTGAAGGAACTTAATTCACTCACCACAAGTACTGGTCCAGATAGGCATCAGTAATCTTCTCCAACGGTTCCACATCATAAACGGGTATCAGATGGCTGTAGAGATCCATGAACTCTATCCCCACTTCTTTGAACGCCCTCTGTGTCAACAGATGTCTCTTGATCCTGGACAAAGCTTCGTGGGGGTTGTCATACGCTTGTTCTATCAAGCCCAATTCTTCTCGCTGACTTTGGTTAAGACGGGATTTCACGCTGCAAACAAAATTAGAACCAGATTCACAACACAACTACAGCTTCTCGGTATCTTCTGTTTTTTCTTAGATTGCAAAACATCAAATTTAGAATAGGATAATAGTTTCGAACCTGTAAGCCTCCTTAAGCCTCTCAAGGGCCAGAATAAGCAGCTTGGTGTCGTGCTTGTAGGAAAGCGGAGGGAATGGTATAGGAGCGAATCTTCTCGACTCCAGCCAATGCACGGTTGTCGTGTAGATAGCAACGGCTTCTTCAGGTGAAATGTACGGACCATCCTTCAGGTAATTGTGCTGTCTTTCTTGTTCTGCTTTCAGATATAACCTGTTGAAAAAATAATTACATAAAAATAAGTGCAGAAGTCTAAATGTCGGGGTACCGTGCAAAATCGAGTCCTCGGTGATCTGGATTCTGAAACTGCTATAATACATTAACGTTTTAAATATACTGAAAATCACGTCATTCGAAGCGTTTCTTTTCAAAAAAGACAAACAATTAAAAAGAATAATATACCTGGTAAGTCTACCAAGATTCTTCTTACACACTGTCTTGTCTACTGTTGCACCTCTTCTGATTCTCTCTCTGTTGTAGTGTGCAGTGTTTGTCCACCAATCTGCTTTCATCTTCACGTAACGTAGGATCATGTTCTCAATGGGTATTGGTAGACCAGGAACCTGAGAAAAAATGTACATGTTAACAAAGAAAGCCCAAAGTGTTGTGTGAGAAAAACATATAGTAAATTGTATACTATAATGTGGTATGAATCACATAAGATAATGTGCTTACCTTCCACGGGATATTCGCCTTCCAACACCTCCAAGCCTCAGAAAGATGCTGCAATATAGTCCTGGCCTTATTCTGCTTGATTCCTTCCGGCATCATATCCACAATATCGTGCATAACAGAGGCCCGCAACTCCAGGTCAAAGTGAGACTCGACACGCTGCTTGGTGACCGTTTTGGCGACCCCTTTCGAGTGTCTACCTTCGAACTGTCTGGACAGCAAGTTGCCAAGCCAACGTTCTAGCAGCGGAGTAATGCCGCGCATGAAGAAAAGCCACACGCGCCAGCCTGGCGCCCAAAAACCGCAACCCGGACCTTTACCTACGGGACCCTAAAAAAAATATTAAATATATAAGTTGAATGATGGAGAACTGCTATTAAGGTCACTGAAATGCGAGAAGGTATATAGATGTACTCTGTTCCTTCTACGATATACGTGCGGAGACAATTCTCGTCTTCTCTGCGACCCTGATACAAGATTCTGAGTTTGCTAAAATCGCTAAGCAAACCAAGTACTTTTCGCAAAGTTGAATGATGGAGATTTGATATTAGCGCCACAGAAATGCCACGAGGTATGTAGGTGTACTCTGCTCCTGCTATGATATACGTGCGGAGACAATTCTCGTCTTCTCTGCAACCCTGATTCAAGATTCTGAATTTGCTGGAGTCGCTAAGCCAATCACGTACGTTTCGCAAAGTTGAATGATGGAGATTTGATATTAGTGCCACAGAAATGCGAGGAGGTATGCAGGTGTACGCTGCTCCTGCTATGATATACGTGCGGAGACAATTCTCGTCTTCTCTGCGACCCTGATACGAGACTGAATTGCTTGAATCGCTAAGGTGAATGATGGAGATTTGCTGTTAGGATCACAGAAATACGAGGAGGTATATAGGTGTATCCTGCTCCTGATATGATAAGCGAGCGGCAACACACGCCGGCTCTACGACCCTGATACAATATTGTGAGCTGCTGAAGTCGCTAAGGCGATCATATAGTTTTCACAAAGTTGAAGGATGGAGATTTGCTATTAGGATCGCAGAAATGCGAGGAGGTGTGTAGGTGTACTTTGCTCCTGCTATGATACGCGCGGCAACATCTTTCGACGTATCTGCGACCCTGATTCAAGATTGAGATACTGATGATCGCTAAAAAGCACGAAACAGTGTTGTATGCGGTTGGTCATGGCTACAAAGCAAACAAGTTCGGTTCAGTGTGTGTCTATTTATGCATATCGAGCCATTTTTGGTAGCCTTGAGACAACCAAGTATTCCGGACGATTTCAATCGTGCCAAACCTGAAAAACAGAAGGAAATCTAAGCAACGAAAACATCTTTAAGATATCTGGAATCCTTGGGACTATTAAACTGTAAGAAAAAATCGCCATATTTGTGCACATAGAAAATGGTCGTGTTCAATGTACTTACAGTGTTGAACCTGTAGTAGATCAGATGCTTCAGATCTTTGCACATTCTGATCTGTCTCATCAGCTTGTATTTGTATCTGTACATTCCAGTCAACTGCCCGACATGAGCAAAAATGTACTGCAAACCATCAGCCAATTGAAATGCATCTACATTGTTCAATCTGTACTGGACATGTGAGTCTATGATCAGTTTGGTGAGACGTAGGATTTCTCTGCACAGATGGAAAGCTACAAAAATAAAATGAATGTCATTTCAAAATTTTCAGTTCATTTCTTATCGAACAGAACACAGACCGAAAAATCAGGAATAAAAATTTAAGACTATTATATTAAAAAGCTTCAAGTTTCGATTGACATTCTGGAACTTCCAATTCCAGCTTGTTATAATAGATTGTTAATAATGAAAGTTCAAGAAGAGCAAATTGTTTGACTGAAAGGCCTCAAGTACAAATTCTGTTTGCCTCACCATTTCCGAAACGGGACTTCTTTCTCTCCTTTGTAGTCAACGTTTTTACAGGCTTCAAATTGAAATTGTAATCCAAATGCAGATAATTCAAATTCTTTCTGTGGATCAACAAGTTCAACATGTTGTAGCCTTGACGACAAACCTGCAAAGAAACAAAAATTATGTCTGCTTTCAGCTGTCAGCTAAAACAAATAATTTTTATTACCTGTAGGCCTGCTTCTACCCAATCCAACGTGGTCGTCTGGAAAAACTTCGTAGACTTAAAAGACCTGAATAAATACCTCTTCTTCTGAGGTTTAGGTGGTCTGTGTTTCAATGCGTTCAGCACATAGTATTTCAACAATTTTTGATAGCTGACGCGCACTTTGACAGGTTGACCCGGCGGGCAATGTTCCATATACCAGGATTTTACAAGAGGTACATCTATTGCTCTTCTACAGCGACCTAAAAAAATTATAGTATAAAAAATGTTGAACTCTCGAAATATCTCAAGATTATACTGCTCTTCTTTCACTGTGGAAGGATGGTTCCTATACAAACTTTACCTGATCTCATGTTGAAAGGTCTAGGCGCCCATAACAAAGCTATGCCATTAGCAGTGTTATCTGTATACAATGGTGTTTCCTGCAGAAAAGGCTGGACAGTTTCAGGTAAGATATATTCTTCATCATCCTCAGGTAGAGGTTCCAAGCTTTTCACGGCGTGACGATGCGAAATAGGGTTAATCAATGGATCAAAATAGAAAGCTGGTAAGTCGGGATCTTCAGTTTTGATATAGACTACATTAGGCGTATGATACCTGAAAATATGGATTAAATATATCTTTGTAATCACATAGCTCAGTATTAGGACAGCAGCTCATTTCCTTGGATGAGGGTAAGAGAATCTAGTCTTTTTTGCTGTAATCACTGGTGCATGTAGAACTTCAGTTCGGGGCTGCGGTCAAAATAAGAAAAAGTGGTTGAAATGATTTTTTTTACGTTTTTCCTTCTCCCTTTGACAAGAATATTGAAAGTAGTAATAGCAAAGCAATAAACAGATAGGCTTCAAAATGCACTTGAAGATGGCGACTCAGGATACCTAGATTAAGTACCTTTCAGGTCCATGACAACATACAGTAATGGACAAAAGTATATAGACAAATTAATATTGTGCTGTATTTATTTTTTAACTTGCTTTATTAATACACCAACCTGTATACATAATTCGTTATAGCATAATACTCACTTATACATAAATAAATTCATTAACTCTCTTCAATAAAAAATTAATTGAAAAAACTGGAACTATGAAGGACAAAAATAAATAGACAAAGCAAAACAATTATAGAAAAAAGAAGCAAAATTCATTGATTTATAGAAAACCAACCATGTTTGTGTTAATATTTTGTAGCATAACCATTATTATCAATCATCGTCTGGAATCGTCTCGGCATAGATTGTAGAAGTTTCTTGATATAAGATTCATCAATCTGTCTCCACTTTTGTTCTAAAGCGGCAAAAAGTTCATCCTTGTTTGAATAATTTTTATCTCGTATTTGCTTATCTAAATATTCCCATAGATTTTCAATGGGGTTTATATCGGGAGACTGTGAACGCCATTTGAGAACTGGTATTTTTTCATCCAGAAAGAATTTCCTTTGTGAGATTTGCTTGCTGGAAGATTGATCTTAAGGTCATATTGTTTTCCATATAGGGTAACATGACATGCTTTAGTATGTCTGTGTATACAAACTTATCCATAATGCCATCTATTCTATGTAAAGGTCCCATTCCAGACCCCGAAAAGCAAACCATAACAGACCCGCCTCCATGTTTGACAGTGGGCAAAGTGTACTTGGGGTTCAATCTTCGTCCACTAGGACGTCTAACGTAATGAACACCATCTGATCCAAACATATTGAACTTGGATTCGTCACTGAAACATACCCTCTTCCAGTCACAGATGCTCCAATCAAGATCCAACCGTGCAAATTGTAATCGGTCCTTACGGTTTTTCCTCGAGATTAGCGGCTTCTTACTCAGGCGACGTGCAAATAACTTCAAATCATTTAATCTTCTACTTATAGTTTTCGTAGAAACACTGACAATTCCTTTTGTCTCGATTTCGCCTTTTATTTGTCTTGGGGTTTAAAACGGATCTTTGAACGAAATTACTTTTATTAATCTAACTGATCTAGCATTTAGTTTTCTATGCCGACCACTTCTCTTAGATTCTCCAAGATACCTTTTTGTTTATATTTGTTAATATTGCCCAAACTGCTTTCACTTCAGCTTCAAATTTTTGGCAGTGTCGACTTGACTTTGACCATCTTTGTATAACTCAATGATCTTAGTTTTCACATCGAAAGAAATTTCTGGACCACGTGGTATGGTCTTAAAATCCCTCAACTTATTCCACAATATTTGATGAACACAAATTAATCCTCTTCTGACACGAAACTGTACTAAACTAATGTTGAAAAGAATTTGTCTACATATTTTTGTCACTCATAAAAAAGTGCTTGTATTCAGACTTGTACTATGGTCATTGCAGAAAATGTAAAAACAAGGAATTTAGTTATATTATATTGCATTTATTTATGGAGCAATAAAGTAGGAATTCGTTTTCTAGAGGTATTTAGGTAAATATTCATATTTGTCTACATACTTTTGTCCATTACTGTATATTAGGGCATTAGTGGTGGAGGTTTTTAACACTAGTAAGGATTTATAATAGTTATAAATCCTTTATATGTAAAATTATTCATCTTCCTGATCAAAATAAATATCCACATTTATTTTTAGTTGGACAAAACAAAAAAGTTATAGGGATATTTATGGGTGTTTTCAGGCAATTTAGAATAAAAACGAAAAACATCATACTGCAGTAACTAGTAGTAGTAGTAGAAAGATTTATTTAGCACATTTGGCTACATAAACAGAACAATTGTAAACAACTTAGAACTAGTAAATTCAAGCCATATGGTGTATGATGTAAATGCTGGGCAACCTATAATTGTAGATTTAACAAGTGATTTCTCAATTTTACTTTAAATTTTGTCAAAGTTTTCTGGTCTTTTATCTCCGAGTATAATTTATTATATTCAATCAACCCTTGATGGAATACAGATTTGTAGCATATGTTATACTTTTTGGTCATTAAATGGAAGTCATCTTTATTTCTGGTATTATGTAAATGATGGTCGACATTTGATGATGTTAAATTAGTTAAGACTTGATGGAAATATATTATTTTTTACTTTATAAATGAATATCATTACAAGATATTTGATAAAATTTTTTACATTGAGCCATTTTAATTTGCTAAGCATTTGCCTAATTGGAGTATATTTATCTTTATTTAGTATTATTATAATGCACTTATTTTGTAAAATTTGCAGTCTTTCAAAAATGGAATTATTTGCTAAATATAGAATAGTCGAACAGTACAAGAAATTTGGAAGAATGATGGTATTATAGATAATTTTTCTGCTATATGAACTCAGACATCCAGAAACTCTCGATAAATATCCCACTTTACTACTAATCTTATTTATAACTTTTTCATAATGAATATCAAAAATTAATCGAGAGTCAACAAAAACTCCCAGGTATTTAAAATTTTCTACGAATTCAATATCTTCACCATCAATATTCAGTTGAACATTTGTACATTGTTTTTTCCGATTAACAAGGCTTTCGTTTTACTTGCATTTAATTTTAGTCTGTTAGATGCTAACCATTTTGAGACAAGCTTCAAGTCTTCATTTATATAAGAGATACCAGACTGAATATTTTTAGTACTTATATAAATCATAGTGTCATCGGCGAAAATTTGAATTTTGCATTTTTTGACTATGGCAGGTAAATCATTTATGTATAAAATAAAAAGAAGTGGTCCCAGGATACTGCCCTGTGGAACACCCAACGTATTTTCAATTTTTGATGAAATAGTGTCATTAACTTTTGTAACTTGCATCCTTTTAGACAAATAATTTCTAAACCAATCTAAAACACTTCCTGTTATACCATATGCCTTCAATTTACCTAACAAAATATCTCTATCAATCGTTTCAAATGCCCTCTTCAAATCCAAAAATACTGCTATGACAACTTCTTCTGAGTCTATGGCTCTTCTCCAATTCTCAGTTACCAACTGGAAAGCTGTTTCTGTGGAATATTTTTTTCGAAAGCCTGCTTGAGCCTCCACTAAAATTTTGTTTTCTTCTATAAACTGCATTAATTGGTCATGCACTATGGATTCTAATAATTTTTCAATGTCTGGTAACACATTTACTGGTCTCATATCGCTGCATCTTTTAGAATTTTTTATTTTGGGAACTGGTGTTATTGTAGAGCATTTCAAATTTTCAGGGAAAGAACTGCTTCTCAGTGAACAATTGATCCAATTTAATACAGGATATCCCAAAATTTCGAAACAGTTTTTCAGCACGTTTTTAGTAGTCATTTCGGCACAGTTGTTATTTGATTTTAAACTGTTTACTTTTTTTCTTAGATAATTCAATGATACGCTGTGAAATTTTGAAAGTGTATGCAACATTTCCCCCTGGAAACTGATTTTCATATAGTCAGGTGCAGCATTGGCAGTACCTACAATATCAACAATACTTTCCACAAAATATTCATTTAGTTTGTTTGCAATCACCAAAGAATTTGTTTCGGTACCGTTTTCGAATTGAACTTGATTTACACAATCATGCGGCTTCGAATTGATCAGTCTTTTTAAAGTCTTCCACATCTTTACACTGTCGCACTTGTTATTATCGATTTGTTTATCGTAGAATTTTCTTTTTTCTTCTCTAATTACATATACACATTTATTCCTAAGAGTTTTATATACCTCCCAATCATCATTTGATTTTGTGAATATACATTTATTGTATTGTTTGTCTCTCAAATTTTGAGCTGCCTTAATATTCTTGTTATACCAGGGTGTATTTTTTGTCGAGCAAATCACTTGTTTATCAGTTGCAAGATCTAAACAAGTTTTTATATTTCCTATTATGTTGTCATATATTTTTTCCATATTCTCACCAAAATTCCAATAGCAGCCAGCAAGTTCTCGTTCAAGTTTTTCGTACTTAATAGTATTTACGATTTTCTTAATTTTTGTATCAGAAAAATGCCCTACCAAGGGCAGCATTGTCCAACTGTGATCGCTAACTTTAGGTGTATGTACAGCTTTAATCCCTGCACATTCGAAATTTACAATAACAAGATCTAACAAAGTCTCTGATAATGATGTTATTCTGGTACTCTCTTCAATTTTTTGCTTGAACCCATAGTTGTTTATGGTTTCTTTCAATTTTCTTGTTTTCATGCTTTTACCATAATAATTTAAATTAAAATCACCTAAAAGTATTATATTGTTTCTAAAATTCCACATTTCTTCGCATTTTTCTTCAAAAAACGTTAAAAATGTATCTGCATCACTTTTTGGTGAATGGTAAAAAGTACAAAGATCATAACGTTTCCCAAATAATTTGAACTGTATATGTGCATACCAGTATGCATAGTCTAAAGTGGTACAATCGAATAATGTGATCTGTATTTTGTGGTAAACATAAATCACTACACCTCCAGTATGTCTGGAGTTGGAGTTGCATCTGTAGGTTTTATAATTAGTAATTTGTAATTCACCATCAGTGATGTCTTCTGTAGCATGTGTTTCGGTAAGACATAATACAAGTGGTTTTCTCCATCTTAAAAACTGTTGAACTTCATCTATATTATTCAGGACTCCTTGTATGTTTAAATGGTATATTGAGTTATATTCATCACTTACAGATTTAGCCACGTCTTGCAAATCTGAGCTTAGTAGTTGCTATTCATTTGCATAATTAATTTTTTCCCTCTCACGTTCAATTTTCCTTTTATATACTTCACAATTTTTGTCAAATGGTCCATGATTAATAGGTAATCCTAGATTAAAATCCTGGTTTGCACTTTTACAATTTGGACAGCATTTGTACATTTCACTGGTACTACAGTTTTCTGTTGAATGTCCTTCTAATCCACAAGTAAGACATCTTCCTGATTTTGTGCAGTATTTAGCTGTGTGGTTAAATCCGGTACATTTATCGCATCGCAAAACATTGATGTACTCGAAAACAGAGCAAACAGACATGTCGATAAAAATAACACCCTGATTCATAACACACTTAAAAGTCATAGCATCCACTTCTAAAATTGCTTGATATTTAGTTTTCATTTTCTTGACTGTAATTACTCTCATATGTGAATTTTCTTGTAGGACTAGGTTTTTTTGGGAATTGTAATAAGTAACTTTAGAAATATTTTTTTTTCAGCACTTGCTGGCGATGATGTGGGCTGTGATATGTGTATGTAACATTTCAGCATTTCCATTTTTGATCTTTAGAATGGAAAGAATATCATGTTACAGATTGATCTTCCACACGGCTAGGACATTTATTATTACAGAAACAATAAATATAAAACAAATGTGGATCAAAAGAAACGCCTTTCAGAGCATACATTCATAAGAGATTCTTCAAAATTACTCACCAAGATAGATGAACAAAGTGGGGCATGTTGTTGTACAAATATGGAAATGCAATTCTGTACTCTGTACGAATCGGTTGTCTGATAATGATCTTGTTGATATCGTTGAACTCGTTCCAATCCTCATCACTGAAAATAAAAAGCACCGATCAGCAAAGAATTGATGAAACGATTGCAACCACTTACGCTGGGTTCATATCCTTGATGAGAGGCTCAAACTTGGGACCACCAGGTATAGCCATATTCAGGGCCTTAGCAGTAAAGAAGCTCTTTGTGTCAAACAAATAAAAGTAGTTGTCATCGACCAAGTCAGTTAACAGCTGGTTTGCCAATCTAAAAAGGAGGTTCATTCAATAATTGTAACAGTTTTATATCCCAAATTTATAAAGTATCATGGTGTATGTAAAATGTCAGCCTTACCTATACAGTGTAGCCATCATAGGCAAAGTTAAATTCCACCTTCTATATGTAGGTCCATTGACATACTTTGTGCCTACCAATGGTTTGTGGTCATAGAACCATTTTGCAATTGCTGAATCCTCTTCTGCATCCAGTTCAATCTGGATAGCCTCCAAAGGCTCAACATCAAGCACGTTGTCTGCATAATCTAAAGGAGGTTCTTCATCATCAAATGGTGGAAATCGCATTCTTTTGAAGTGGCGACGATCGCGTTTTTCTCTCCTCATCATGATCCACATTGTTCTAAGAAGAAAAACAAGATACATGAAGGCTGTCAGCAAAGTATGTAAGTGTAATTTTTTAAGTTGAAATCCAGGATTTAATATTTTGCTGCACCTAAACAATATCCTCTAATATTATCTTTTATGAAATAATTTTTTCTACAATCATATACAGGGTGACAGGTAAGTAGGTGTAAAACATTTTAGGAGGTGATAGTACAGCTCCTTTGCTATCAAAATTAGTATATAATACCATACCCTATATTCAAAGGTTAAAAAGTTATGGAAGATTTAATTTTTTTAAAAAACAACCCAGATTACAGAGTAAAATAGTTGAGATAAAAAAAAGTTGGTGATTAAACATTCTTTTTTTGGTGGTTTCAGGTTATTATTTAAATAAATAATTCTCATAAATTAAAAAACATATGAAAACACTACTGCAAACGTATTTATTTTCATTTAAATGTTAAATGAACATTTTTATTTTCAACTTTCACATTAAGAAGTCTTTTTTCTTCAAAAAAATCATAATAAAGAAAATGTACAAATAACTGCAAAAACTTCCTCGTTTCATTAGGTTTCTAAAATGGTATAATAACATATCAGTAAGTAAACCATTTAACAAAACAATATTACTTTGCTAGAAAGAACCGCTAAGCGCATTTCATTGTACTGAGCAGGTAAACCGAGCCTTTCATGGTTCAACCCTTTTTGTTATTTTTTGTGCCCTGTAGGGTTATTCGGGTTTAAGTATTCGGAATCTGTCGTCGCTCCTCGGAAGCAAGCTCTGCGTGTGTTATGAATTGACACAGCAGACGGATCAACGAAAGGGAACTAAGGCTTAGGTTAGTTAGTAGAATATCAACCTTTAACGCGGTAGGACGTACTTTTACTTTTTTGATCAGTTTTAATAATGGCGAGTTACCATGGCAAAGCCAAGAGCCCATCAAAGAAGATTTTCGGCAAACGTGTGGATGGGAATCATTCATACGTATCTAATTGGACCAGTTTTTTTGCCTGACAACCTGAATGGCGAATCCTATGAAAACTTTTTGAGATCCGAACTCTGGGAGTATCTCGAAGACCTGCCTCTGAATATCAGGATGCAGATGATCTACCAACACGATGGCTGTCCCGCGCATTTCCGTCTGGGTGTTAGACAGTGGCTGGACGAGAAATATCCTTGTCGCTGGATTGGCCGAGGTGGACCGACGCCGTGGCCAGCGAGGAGCCCAGATTTAACACCGTGTGGCTATTATTTATGGAGGCACATGAAGTCACTGGTGTACGCTGAGCCCATAGACACTCTTGCACAGTTGAAAGAAAGAATTATTGCTGCTGCTGACGCTATCAGAGGACAACTAACTGGCCGCATCACATGTACCAACATGAGAAAAAGACTACGGGCTTGCATAAGAAACGGCGGGCGTCAGTTCGAACGACAATTGCAATGAATTTTACCTTCATTTCATTATTGTATTTTACTTACCAATTGTAGTAACTTTTAGTCAGTTTTTATTATTCTGTAGTACAATTACAACTGTGTAAATAATCTAATCCTGTAACTTAACCGTATTTTAAAATAATAACTATCCCATAGCTTACAGTTACATTATTTTCACAAAAACACTTTCTTATCAATCAAGAGAGTTGTGAAAATAGGAGACAAGCCATTGGTAAATTTACTCCCTATTGTTGTATTACAATACATTATGTTTAGTTTCACAGTTTTTGTGCACTTATCATACCAATTTAGATTCCTTATGAAACAAGGATATTATTTAAATTGTTTGTACGTTTTTTTGTATACTGATTTTTTTGTAAAACACCGAACTTACTGTAAAACATTATTTGTTTTTCTTAGTTAAACATTTTTGATTGAAAATAAATACGTTGTTTGGTATTGTTTTCGAATCTTTTTTAATTTATAATAGTTAATTATTGAAATAATAACCCAAAAACCACAAAAAACAAATGTTTGATCGCCTACTTTTTTCTCTCTCGACTTTTTTACTCTGATATATGGATTGTTTTTAAAAAATCTTAAATCTTCAATAACTTTTCAACCTTTGAACATAGAGTATGGTATTATATACTAATTTCGATAGCAAAGGGGCTGTACTATCACCTCCTAAAATGTTTTATACCTATTTACCTGTCACCCTGTATAATGTTATAATGACTTAGGAATACCAACACTAGTAGGAAAGATAATGATAGCATAGCTAATTTTAGGTTGGCTTTATATTAAGTGTGAAATGATAAAAATCACTTACCCCCACTGTGCTATGTAAACTGGTTCTATAACCCAAGGGATTTCATTCACAAAAGTAATAGCTCCTGTAATGTGGTACAACACTTTGACATCTCTGATTTGTTCCCAAGGCATTGGCATGTTCTCCAATAACTTCATCACTGCATGTGGCATATACTTCAATGCTCTAAAATTAAAAGTACATACTTTCAAGTGTTATTAGGTTATCATTCTCCAAGTAGTTTTGAAAAGTTCACCATTTATGTGAAATATTAATACCTTCCAGCAATCAATCTAACACAATTTTTGAACATATTTTAGAAGTAAACAAATAGAAGTTGTATTTTTGAACTTACCCTAAATAAACCCTCTTATCATGTCTATATTTTCTACTGCTCATATCACCATGATCCCTAATGATTTTTCTAATATGCTCTGGTGGCATATCCTCCTTTTGAGCCTCCACAAAGCCTAGCTTCCTTTTGTCAGCAAATCTTTTGGACTGTAACTGGTGCCATTTTTGAGCTAAAAATGTTAACCATTCAATCACTGTTATCTTCAAATTTAATATGCTCTACTGGGGCATAAACTTGGGAGCTAGGAGTTTGGAAAATAATTCAGCAAATTTGTGGTCCCTGTAGTACTTATTGTGGTATTCCGCAAATATATGTTGCTGTTAAATGAAATTATATACAAAATAAAAAAAATGATTTATATATTTATGCTGATAGCAGATTTTTCAAGAATTATAAAAGCTGAAAGAAAGGAGACAAGTAGATAAAACATTATACATATAAAATAACAAATCAATATTCAATTTTATTTTATACATAAGATACTGCATGGTAAATGCCGAGGGTGATTGTTGTTTTTTAAAACCTAAAAAAGTGTTAGTCCATCAATCTACTAGAATTGTTTTAGAAAAGGTGAAGTTTAAAGATAAATAAATGACATTTGAACAGATTCTACATTTTGATTATCTAGGATCCCATAATTCGTCAAGAATATACAAGAATTCAAAAATGTAGAGTGGCTTTGTAATATCTATCTTGCTAGTAATTTGTAAGTAAAATAAGATATTCATAATCACAATACTAATTGCAGGGGAAGTATAAAATTATACTTTCGTTAGCTTGATAGCTACTAACTTAGAGAACTGAAGTACAATATTAATCACAAACTGTGCTTACTGCAGTGATACTTCAACCCTAGCAAATTATTTTGTTTAGATTTTACAAATTATAAATTTTAAGAATGTATTATTTACCTTTTTCTTGTAGTTTATCTTCAGTCATAACATCATTCTTCGGATGAGGTGGAGGCATCTGTTGTTGCAAAGCATGTGCATGTGCTTGTGCCGCGGCCACTTGGGCCTGAGCGTGGGCCGCCGCTAGGTGCTGCTGGGCCATCATGGTGGCCCACGGATTGGGGCCCAGCAAGTACGGCGGCAGAGACATGTTTACAAACTGAAAACGTAGCAAGCGTAGAGGTTAGCTTACGTACGTCGGTCGTTTCAGCGACGACTCGTCGGTTTTTGATATAACAGCTACTTACTTTGTTATTTGTCGGGTATAAATGATTATAACAGTGTCATCAGCATATATTATAATAAAAATACATGAACGCTTGGAAAAATCTTTCACAGTTTCACATCACTGTTTCATGTTTCTTGTTTCACACTTTCACAAATTTAGAAAACACGGAAAACTAAAAACACGAGAACCGAATGAACGTCAATGCCGTAACATGAAGGAAGCCATTAGAGGTGCTGAAAAAGTAACTATTCGTTACTCGAGTACTCGTTACTCATAGATACTCGGAGTAGCGAGTAGCAATCAAAGCACGAGATGTTGACTTTCATTACTCTGTTTTCCATATCCGTACCCGTTTCGAGTACAATCGTTGATCGCAACGGTGGTTTCTGCCTTCACAGCACTGCCGCCAATAAAAAGAATTAAGTGTACTTATTTACACCGTGACTCAAATTCGCTCTTATTGTTGTAATCTTGGCAACCTGAAAAGAAATAAGGAGTCGATTGGATTGGAGCAAAGTTCGACAGTATTATGAGCCAGAAAAGCGACAACATTGTAACAACGCCGTTCACGAAAACCATAGTTACGTTCTATTTAGTAAATTTGAATACCAACCTTAATGCGAAATAGATCCTAAATTGCTACATATAGTTTGAATTTTCCAGGCCAAAGGTTTATTTTCGTTTTTTTTGCCTCAATATTTGCATTGTTATTTTATAAAAACAGTTTTTCAAAACTTTCTCTAAATACGGATCCCAATCCGGCAACACCGTAGGCAAGCGCCACTCATATACCTGAAAACACAGACGTCATATGGCAGATGGCGGTGGAAATAATTGGTGGAAATAGCTGCCAAAAATACTGTGTTTGGGGAAAAAATATTTCATCAAAAGCGTGCTTCATCCACACTTTTTTGTTATAAAATAATACATCAGACTAGCCTCTAAAAGTTGCAAGTGAAAAAAGAGTGAAATCTAAAGTTCTACAAGACGCAACAGTATCTTTGTGTATTTTAAATTAAATTATAAAATTGTAATATATAGTTTGAGTGGGTAGTGAAACTTTCAAGTATCTATTTTAAAATTTGTGGTTTCTTTCCCTGTAGCCTATTTTTTATATTATTTTCCAAAAGAATTTCTGCTAGTCACTAATATGCACGGTACTGTAATGTTGGTTGCGGTCTGCCATTAGCTTTTAGCCTTTTAGCCTTTACAACACATACGTTCTGTAATGTTGGTTGCGCTTTGTAATGTTGGTTGCCGGTATCGAAGACACTGGTTTGATTCAGTAATATCACGACGTCTTTTGTTACAGTCTGAAACACTGCAAAAAATGGGTCCGGCGCGAGGCCAACCATTCGTGATACGTTTTTTGTGTCGCTAAAAACGACTAATAAGAAATCTCCATCTCTGGCAGTTTGTTATATTTTGAATTCGATGTCAAATCAGTTCTAGGACTCACTACCAATTTTTCAACCCAAATCGGGTCCGATAGCACTTTAGAATTTTTTCACTATAATACGTATGCAGGGTGATTCACACGTTGTGACCAAAAATGAAACATCATACACAGGACCGCATTTTAAGGGGGGTATTCTATGTAAATTTTTTTCCTCAATGGGTATTCAGCGCCTCAAACCCCAAATTACCTTGTTATACAAAGCTTCGATAGCCATCGATAAGAAAGATGGATTTTTATCACCCAAAAACGGTAAAAACGCATAGTTTTGCAATTTTTCGATAAATAATTAGATCTGCATGTTTAAAAATATTAGGTAGATGTGAAATGACATCAGATTCGGCTTTGGCAACGCAAAATCCGTACGATAGAGGTCATTTGAACCGCACTTAAAGCATTTAAATTTTTAGGGGTACAATGTTTTAAAATTGCAAAAATGGGTCAAGAATGTAAACCCAACTATTCTTATACGTTTTTTTGATCGCTAAAACCGAATCCGGGGTCAATTCAGTCCGAAAAGTCCTCGTTTTCGAGATAATGGCAAGCATTCCAGTTTGTCAAAAATCTGCAAAAACTGTTGCGAGTCTATTATCTAGATGGAAGATAGATTTCTAGGTAAATTGTGTGCGTAGATTCAGAATTTGATGACAATTTAGTGCTAGGATTCACGGGTAGCCCCGAATTAGAAAAAATTTTAATGGAAATTCTGTCATTTTTATATCACTTTTTTACCTTGGTCCGCGATATATACTCGTGAAAAATACTGTAAATGGAAGGCTATATATTTACAGTGTTTTGAATAAAATTCTACAGATATCTACAGTTTTTTTTCAAGCTCCTACTAGTTATTCTCTCGGATGGGGTTTGCAACGCTGGTGGTCGGTGACCTGTCGGTGATTGTGTCTGGGATCCGGCCATGTGAATTTAGACTATACAGCGTAGCAGAATGAGCGGAATTTGCGTGGCGGGTTTCTGGACACAGTCACTAATAGGTGACGACACCTATACGAACAGAGATTTGATAGGATAAAATATTTTTTTCCTATTTCTTTTATGGAAAAAAACAAAGTTTTACTATATAAATATATTTAATATCTATGATCTAAAATTACATGATCATTAATAGGAAAACTATGATTTTCATTTTCTCTAGTATCTGTTAGGGGAATATGGTTTTTTGGTGACTGCATTCGCACTTGGGTGAGGGAAACCCCTTGAAAACCTCAACCGTCACTGCTCAGATTAATTGTATCAGGTGAAGAAAAGCCAGGTCGTTCCACAATTCTGGGTTCATCTGTACAATCGAAAATCTCTAACTCGCCAGCATGCCACAGTTGTTAACCTAAAAAAAAAAAGTAGCATTGTACCGGCATATACGAGGGTCATTTTTCAAGTAAGGACCGTTTTGTAATCAAGTCAGAGAAATTTTATTTATGAATGTAAATTGTATCACAAACTAAAATATGAACATTTTATCACTTTTTTAACATAGTCACTCAAACATTCAAACACAAGTTAAGTCGTGGCACCAGTTTTTGTTTAATGCAGCATCTGAAACCTATAGTCTAATCATATCAGCAAATTTCCCCGAAATTATTGTAAAGACTGGTTTTACTGGTGAAGTTGTTCAAGGGGGTATTCAAAACATGGACGCATAAAATGGATACACCCATTTTTGTGGGAAAACTTTTCATTGACAACAAAAAATGACAGGAACGAAAAAACATTTTAATAAGATTTTTAAGTATTTATGAGACCTACAGAATGAGACCAACGTAAAAAGATCCGACTAATAGCAAAGCCCTCCAAAAGAACGCGAAAAAAAACCCAGCACTGTTGTCGTAACACACTGGTTAATTGTTAAGCAATCTTCGGCTAAAATATTGCAACCTCAAATGGCATGAAGTCTCATGCATGATCAAACATGATAACAATTACAAAAGGAATGTAAAGGAATCAGCATATATAAATTTAACAATAATTGTCTTTCTAGTTCTTCTGTGAGCCAAATTGGTTGAATATACTCGAAGGAAAGACCTAATTGATATTATCCAACCAAACTAATTGATCATGAGTTTTTTATAGCGGCGTAGTGAGAGACTGGCCAAGAGTGTCTGAGATTGAACGGTCTTCACGTTGCGGTGCGCAATTGGTTCTTACTTTAGAAACGCCCCTCGAAGTTCACTGACATGTTTCTGATAAGTTGTTAGAAAAATAAAATTTGGTGAAAGCTTTCGTCTATGGCGTCGCTGCTTTTTCCAATAGGTTTCAGAAGTTATATTTCCTGATAAGCTTGATTTATCGGGTAAGACGTCAGTCAAACATGAACAATAAATAAGTTTAAGATTATGTAAAAAATACCTGCTCTTTATTTCGATTATCAATTCAATTCATCTTCATATAACTTTTGGCTTCATTGAGTTAGTTTCCCAAATATGTCCCTTAATTTCTTCTTAATCTCTTCAAAAGTTGTATGAAAATCGTGAACATTTTTAGAAGCTTTTGCTTGGAACCTGGCAGTATTTTGTAAAACTTCATCAATATATTGACAGTAGACCATACTACTATTATCCACAGATTTATCTACAAAGAGAGTTCAAATGAGTATTCCCATTTAAATAACACCTCTGCTTATTTTAAAACATCAAGTAGGTTGACGTATTTATTTAAGTATAGTTTGAGTAGAAAGTTTTTGTTCTTCTTAGGGCAAATTTAGAAAATACATCTATTGGGAAAATTTCCAAGATCCTTAACAGTTCTATCTATACTTCAGCGGTTCGTGAAGTTCAAAACCAACCTTCTTGATGCCATGCTCTCCAATGCTTACCCTGTATAAATTTTGATGTTGGTTTGATTGCTGTTCTCATGTATTGCAGCATACCATAAATCGGGACTTTAATCATTCTTGACATGTTTCATGTTTCTACTGTTCCTATTCAATCTCTATCTTTATCCGACTCGTGTATGACCAATGAAACATTCATCCAGCTATCCAGGCAGAACATTTTTTGGAACAGTTGCCTATACAGGTCATTATCATCAATATAAGTGTCAATAACGTATGCCATTCCTGAAATTGGAGGTGTCCCACCTCCAAAGCTTGATGAAAATATTTGAGCTATGATTCTGAAAGGAAACCTGAAACTTTTTGAACAGCAGTTAATGTAAAACACGTAAAAATAAGAAGTGTGCAATCACATCTTAGCTAAAAATACCTAGATATGTTCGTAAAATAGGTACCTAATAGAATTAGTAAATACCAAATTTAAGCTAAAATTGAAATTATAATAAATATATCATCAATATTTATCATCGTTCATCAACATTCCTGAAATACGGATTCTTCTCATTCTCACCTAAAAGCTGAAACAAACTAAGAAAAACTTATGGAATACGTAAAAATAAGAATTGTGGTAACCCATTTTGCTTGTAAATATATTTTCTCATAAATAAACGTATTTTATCCTGCCATCGATAATAAAATAGAAATAGTGAATACAAATTCAATTAAAAAAAAACATCTTGTTTCATACCTTTAATGATCTACTACTAGCCTTATCACTAAATATTACCAGAACTACTACTACTACTACTTCTACTACTACTACTACTACCACTACTACCACTACTACCACTACTACTACCTTCTGATCTGGTTACCTAGCATCTGCGGACACACTTATGAAACCTGAATTTTTCACATATCTCATTCCTCAGAAACACTGGACGAATTTACGTCAGCCACGTGTCTTGCAAGACATCTCTCCGAAAATGATGAACCATACGGAAATGTCTTCATTATTTAAATTATCAATTCCGTTGATGTTCTTTCTGCATGTACCAGCCTGCAATCATCTTCAAGAGGGCGAAAAAGTATAATTTTTGGACTCAGAATGTTAATGTCCCAAATATGTACCTGAATGAAAATCGTGAACATTTTTAGATGCCTTTG